TAAATGTAGTAAAACAACAAATAGAAAATCTCAATAGAGAAATGGAAACTATAAATTTTTTTTTTCAACGTTTATTTATTTTTGGGACAGAGAGAGACAGAGCATGAACGGGGGAGGGGCAGAGAGAGAGGGAGACACAGAATCGGAAACAGGCTGAAATGGAAACTATAAAAAAAGAACAAAATGGAAATTCTAGAACTGAAGAAAATAGTATCTGAAATGAAAAGGTAACCAGATAAGCTTCATCGGAATTAGACACTATAAAAGTGACCTTGAAGGCAAAGCAATGAAACCATCCAAACTGAAGCAAAAGAGAAAAAAAAAAATCAAAATCAACCAAATAAGACAATTTCAAGTTGTCTGATTCTGTGTCTGGTGAGGTCCAGCTTCCTGGTTTATAGACAGCTGTGTCCTCACAGTGGAAGGGGCAAGGGACCTCTTTGGAGCCTCTTTTATAAGAATACTAATCCTACTCATGAGGGATCATTACAACCTCATTCACAATATATTCCTAGTTCAACTCAGCCCACCTTGATCTTCAACACTAAAATAACCCTCAGTTCTTTTACAAGTAGTAGGGAACCATGATCAGGAGAGATGGGAAGAGGGAGTCTATGAATGGTACTGTCATTTGTCCTCCAGTATTTCATGTAGTTTTTATCTTTCGTTTATGAACTCTTAATATTGATTCCTATGTATCCCTAATAAACACTTGAAACTTCCATGTAGGTAATGATACTCCTGACATTTTGGCCATAGGAATATTTCTTGGAACCATATATGTCTTTCCCAAAGTTCAGCCTAAATACATGGATGCTACATAGAGATTATGGGGAAGGTAAAGTTCTATTATTAAGTATCTATTCTCCAGTTACAAAAAGAGATAATAATATGTTTGAAGACAAATGGTAACCTAGGATGTTGTTGGACAGAACTAAAATAGGAAAGGAATTATACCAGAGTACGTGGCAACAGAGCCACATGTAATTTCAAGAAACACTCTCTTCTAGAACAAAAGAGGAGAACACTGCAAGAGTCACTAATAAAGTAAGTTTGGGATAAAGGATCCTTTGCTCTTTGAGCTGGCGTTCAGGATAGTGCATCCCAATCTCTTGTGAGGATCCCTCTTTTGGTGCTAACAAAATTGCTGTCACTAAAGTTACCAGTAGCCTCCTGATAGCTAAAATCAATGCTCTAGTTTGAGACTTCATACTACTTAATCTTTCTTCAGCAGTTGATATAGTTGACCAAACTTTTATTCTGTAAACCCTTTTTTTCTCCTTATTTCTATGTGATTATTCTCTAAAGCATTTTCTCCTTCTTGTCCTATTATTTCTTTGTACTTTTTTTAACAGAATTTTCCACTCTTGTTTGTTGTAAACAAAATCCTCAAACATTAGTGTCCTTCTGGGTTGTTGTTTTGGGTCCTGTTCTCTCCTCCCTGAATTACCTCCTTCATAGCCTTCTACCCAAGTCCTAATAACTCACATGTCTATATCTCCAGACCCATATTTCTAACTGACTACTAGATATCTTTGTCTGGATGCTCTGCAGGCATCTCAAACTTAAAATGCCCAATGCTTATCTTCTCCTCCAACTCCTACAAAACCTCCTCCTCCTCCTTTATTCCCTATCTCAGAGAGTGGTACCACTATCCACCCAGGAACCCAAGCCAGAAACCTGGGTGTGATCCTCAATTTCTACCTCTCCACATTTAATGGACCATTAAGTTCTTTTAAATCTATGTTCAAAATGTTTCTGCAATCCAACCTCTCCTCTCTGGCCCCCCAACAGCCTTCTGTAAGTTCTTATCAATACTGTTATCAACAGTAACATCTTAGCAAGTCTCCTCTACTACAAGGCTCTGTCATTTCCAATGTTTTCTTTAGAATAGAGGCCATTAGACTTAGAGATCTCACTGTTCAGAAAAGTCTAAAAAATGGTTTTGAGAACTGACATAGTATGGTTTTCTTTTTTTAAAAATTTTGTCAGGGCACAAAACCCAACATCATCTACTCTCACTACCATTTCATAGTAATTTAAAAGACTATTCAACTTCAAAAAATAGAAAGTACCATACCCTCGTTGAAAACAGTTCTTTAAATATATTTGCCTTTTTATTTTATTTTTTAAGTTTATTTATTTTGAGAGAGAGTGAGAAAGAGCAAGTGTGTGAGCCAGGGAGGGCCAGAGAGAGAGGGAAGAAAGAGAATGCCAACCAGGCTCTGTGCTGTGAGTGCACAGCCTGACGGGCTTGATCTCACAAACCATGAGATCGTGACCTAAGCAGAAATCAAGAGTCAGACACTTAGCCGACCCCTATTTGGCTTTTTAAATGAAACCATTTATTGGATGGCAACCATTGCTCTAGAATTCAGACTGCCATCACAGTGATCTTTAGCTAGCTTGAAAAATCTCTGTGTTACATAACCATTTAAATTTATCCATATAATCTACATGCATATACTTTTCTGGCTTTTAATGGCACATAGTAATCATTTTATTTACATGTTATTGACATGTCTATTATGGCCTTCTATTTTAGACTTTTTTCTAAAATAATAAACTTTAAATGTCCCTGTGACATATCACCTTCAGGCCTTACAATACAAGCTATCCTCTAGGGTAACACAAAAGGCCCTTTACAATCTAGTTGTAATTTACTCCTCAGCAAGAACTTACCATAAACATTCCATATTCTTTCATGCCTTTATGCCAGTGGCTCTCAGCTGGGAATAACTCCCTGCACCCTTCTATAAGAAGGCATTTGGCAATGTCTGTGTTATGATCTGAATTTTGTTCCCCCCCCAAATTCACATGTTGAAGCCCTAACCTCTATGTGACTGTACTTGGAGACTGGCATGTATGTGTGTGTGTGTGTGTATATATATATATATATATATATATATATATATATACACACACACACAAACACACACACACACACACACGGCATATGCATGTATATGCCATGTCATCTATAGATTTTTAAAGAGTTATATCACATTTTAAACATAAAGATATGAAAAAAATATCCTTACCCTTAACATTAAGAAATCAAGCCTTCTCAATTTTTTTCCTAATATATTTCTTGCTAACCCATTGCCAGAGGTCAATAAAACATAAGAGTGCCTTAGGATATCTAGGCCATCAAATGATCCAGACAAATGTAAAATTTTTAGGAGCATGGCTTACTAACAGTAAAGTTAGCTAACATTTATCACTATTGTGTAAGACACTATGCTACCATGAGTGCTTTCTCTCCATATTGAAATTTAATTTCCATATTCTATGTAGTACTATTGTTATACTCATTTTAGAAATAAGGAAACGTATGTTAATGTTAATGTTAGTTAACACACGTAAGAGAAGTGCAATTTGGAGAAATTAAGTGACTTGTCCAAAGCCATACCACTATCAAGGACTTCAAAATAAAAAGTAAGACTGGGACTAAAAATGTCCATTTTTTGAATCGAGGTTTTTTTAGCAAAAAATACATTTCTGGACAAAATAATAAATATGTCTTATTGTATCCAGGCACCTGGATGGCTCAGTCAGTAGACCATGTGAATCTTGACTTCAAGGTTGTGAGTTTGAGCCCCATGTTAGGTATAGAGATTACTTAAAAATCTTTAAAAAATATATGTATTATAATGCATTGACTTTATAAATGGAAAAGTATCTCCCTAAGGAAAAAATACATTTTTATCTGCTTATCTAGTTAGCCATCTGAGACAAAATTACTTCATGTAGTCAGCTAGGAAAAATATTTTAGCCTGTACTGGTATTGAGTTACATTATTTACTTAGATTCTTAGTTCTTTTAGATTCTTTGAGATTTCAACATTTCTCATTCCTTTATCCTATTCAATTTCCTCTTGTAGAGAAACTAAATGAAGAAAAATGATGGAAATAAGGAGTGTAACGGGCTATTATTTTAAGTACTCACTCAGTTATCTCAAACTCTGGAATTTCCTGGAAAACAATCATCCAACAAATATCGACTACCATACTGTTGAGATATATATTGTTTTTATACAACTACCTTGAAGTTTAGTTTTCTTGCTTCTTTTCAGGAAAAAAAGGGGGAGAAGTAGAGTACAATCCCTTTCCAACAAAGAAACAATATTTTGTCTTATTGCATTTTAGTAGCTTATCTTTTTAAGTGAACAAATTTTATTTTGACGTTGATAATTCTGTCAACCTATACCAGCACCCCTTTGTGAAAATTCATTTATCAACCCTACAGTTTCTGTCCTCCAGGATCCTGTGTCTCCTCAACTGGGTCTGAGATAGTAGCCACAGTACAAGTATTCCAGAATTTACAGAAAAACCGGAAAGATTTACAAAAAAATTTTGGAGGCATTTTGACGTAGCAGTATTAGTTATAAGGATGTTAAAAAATCTTCTGCAGTAGCCTTGCACCTTAAAAGGGTGAGCTTTGATTTCTCCTGAGCTTAGTCACATCCTTGCCCTTAGTCTGAATATCTTCTAGACTGTTTTAAAATTCCTCACCTTTGTGATAGATTAGCTTGGAATAGAAAAGAATTAAATGACTTACGTATTAGCGTAAGTATTATTTTATTCTTATTTAGTTAAATTTTTGTCTCATTGAATGCTACACTTTCTTGAGGGTACAGATTTGTCCTTCATTTTTTATTGCCCATCAAGAAAAAATATTTCTAACCTATAATCAATAAATGTTTACTGATTTGAAATTTCATTTGGGAAGGCAGAATACAGAATTATTTAACTTTTGGTGCCTGATGCCTGTTTGGATTCTATTCACTTGCTGTGTGACCTAAGTTTACAAAACTTTCTAATTTCCTCAACTCAGAAGCGGATAAAATGAGAAAATAAAGTACTTGGAGCTTTTAAAGTGCTATTGATACAATGACTATTTCCTGAGCTCAGACTATACTTCTCACTAAGTAGCTGTTGCTAAGGTCACCAATGTCTTCCATGTTACTATATACAACAGACATTTTTCAGTCCTCTTACTTGACTTCCTAGCAGCACTCTGCGGTTAATCACTCCCTCCGTGAAACGCTGTTTTCCCTTGCCTTCTCTAATAATAAACGCCTCTTCAGTCTCCTTTGCAGGTGCATCACCGTAAGTGCTTGGACAGCCTCGTCGTGAACTGTAACTGTGAAAAACAACGCAGTCCTTCTGAGTCCTAAAAAAAAAAAAAAAAAAAAAAAAAAGGTGTACAAGTGAACACATTTTGGGGCCCCCTTCTCGCTTTCGGCACGCTTCATAAATCCGCTAATATGACTTTTCGGTTTCAGCACAGACGTCCCTCTCTCTTGAGGGCTGGGCAAGCACAGCCATTCAATGTGCCGGGGGAATGCCCAAGGCGCGGGACAAAAAAGGTGTATGAGGCAGCCCTACTAGCACTTTAGCAGCCACACTCCAGCCCTCCTCCGCAGCCTCGCCCAACACCTCTTCGCGCGCGATTCGCGCCGTCGAGTCCTCCGACATCCCAGCATTCCCTGCGCTCCTACCATCGAGAACAGCTTCCGGCGTCGCTTGTGTAGGTGGGTGAAGAAGGAGCGGGCCCTCGCCGCTCTGTCTCACTGTCTCGCGCTCTCTCGGGCAACATGGCGGGTGTGGAGGAGGCAGCGTCCTCCGGGAGCCACCTGAATGGCGACCTGGATCCAGAAGACAGAGAAGAGGGAGCTGTCTCTACGGCTGAGGAGGCAGCCAAGAAAAAAAGACGGAAGAAGAGGAAGAGTAAAGGGGCTGCCACAGGTAAAGGGAGTTTTGTATGTTCCCAGTCCCCGCCAGGGATTGCCGAACGGCTCGGCCCAGGCCCGGCAGGAGTGACAAGAGACTGGGGGACTCGGAACACTGCACTGGACTGATTCCCAGGACTGAGTGTGTGTTGAAATCGGACTACAGATTCCCAATCCCGGGGGGAGGCGGCTTCTCTTTAGCTGGGACTAGAGAGTTGGTGGGGGTGGGGTGGGGGAGAAAAGTGTGCTTCAGCCTGTGGTGAGGTAGTTCTGGGGTTGCTGGGCCCTTATAATTGCCAGAACTCAGCTCCCACCCATACATACCGTGCAACGAACTTGAAGCTGTGCACAGGGCCGAGCTCTACTACCCTCCTCGCGGTGTGCCTTCCTCAAAAATCCGTTCTGACCCGGACTGTCGCCTCTTTGCTGAAGCAACCTGGAGCATATTTTCGTCAAGGATAGGAAAGGAGTGGGCAAATCTTAGTGCCTTGACTGCGCCTCCCCCCACCTTCCTGGTTTACAGAAGGATTTTTGTTGCGGGCTGCACTTCTGGATGTGTGTATATGTGTGTTTGCCCACGCGCTCATGTCACTGAGTAGTAATTGCAGAATATATGATAGTGGTGCGAATTTTCACCTGCCTCATCCCCTAGCATCACCAAGCTTCAAGGCTTTTAGGTGTGAATTATGATGCCATTTGCCGGCAGTCCAGATAGAATATTCTGTGGGTTGGAATTGAACTTCTTTAAACCCATTGGTAAGGTAAGGAAAACAGCTGAAAGTTTACACTTGGATTACATTATGAGTTAGGAACTTAAAATATTTTGAGAAGTCGGTGTTTTTGTTGTACGTGGTCCTTCATTTTAGGGGAAAAAATGTTGTACCTGTTTCTAAAATCAGCCACACAAAGATTGAGGGACCAATGGAGAGGCCACAAGTGATGAAGGTGAAGTTGAGACAGGTTGGAAAGGGTTAATCTATAACTTTATGAAATTTTGATTAAATGGGAGTTGTAAAGGGAAAGTTGTGGGTGCTGAGACACTTCAAGAGAAAGTTTAATCCCTGGACATAAGTTGGCTGTTCCTGGCTTTCGAATGAAATCCAAACTCTTCAGTTTGTCCATTCAGGTGTTCAGTAGACTGACCCTAATATATTTTAAGCAGTTGTATCTCTCAATATGAACCCTCTACAGTAGCCAGAATATCACTTCAGTATGTGCTAAGTGGGAAAACTATCCCTTTATACACAGCTATTGCTCCTACAGCTAGATTGTTGTAATCACTTGGGTGAGGTGGGGGGAGCTGGTCTTGTGCTGTTCAAGAATTTAGGTTTTATAGTAATGGAATTGTCTTTTCCTATTTGTTTTGATTTTACCCATCCTGGCTTGGCAACTTCTTCATGAAGATTTGAAGTTCCCAGTGTCTTGTACAAATCCTCCTCTTGCTAAGACCTTCAGCATTTACTACCTATCTTAAGTACCTGTTTGGTTAATAAAGTGTTTGCTGTAGTAAAATTGTTAAGTACTTTAAAAAGTGAAACAACTTAAGGCTAGGGACCAACTCACATTTTCTTTTATTGTTTAGTTACTAGTACAAAGAAGGTATAATGGATAGTTTATTGAATGGACAATGCTACTTAGATGTGGCAGATTTTTGTTAAGTAAATTCGATTATGTTCACAATAACGTTTCTGTTTTTGTTTCCTGAATACTTATCAGACGGGAAAGGACTTGTGTGTTCTCCAGGATCCTTAGAACATATTCAAATTGGAAAGTATCTTTATTAGATTTGACTTATGTTATATTTGATCAGCAGGGCAACAGGAACCTGATAAAGAATCAGGAGCCTCAGTTGATGAGGTAGCAAGACAATTGGAAAGACAAGCATTGGAAGAGAAAGAAAGAGATGATGACGATGAAGGTAAATGGTAAATTTGATTTTTGTGGTTAGAAAAGCAAGAAAATATGATATTCTTTAAACAAAACCTGCTTGTGTCCATATAGTTTGTGATTCTCTGATGTTTTACTTAATTAATTGACATTAAAGCCTCAGTATCACAGATAAAAAAGAAAAGGTATTTATAAGTAACTTAAAAAGTGGGATAAGGGGCGCCTGGGTGGCGCAGTCGGTTAAGCGTCCGACTTCAGCCAGGTCACGATCTCGCGGTCCGTGAGTTCGAGTCCCGCGTTAGGCTCTGGGCTGATGGCTCAGAGCCTGGAGCCTGTTTCTGATTCTGTGTCTCCCTCTCTCTCTGCCCCTCCCCCGTTCATGCTCTGTCTCTCTCTATCCCAAAAATAAATAAACGTTGAAAAAAAAATTTTTTTTAAAGTGGGATAGGCTGAATGCTCAAATAACACAGATCTCAACTTTTAATAATGTACTTGGTAAAATACTAAGTAGTGGGTATCAAGATGAAATAAAAGGACTGTTTATTCAACTAACATTTATTGAGCAACTAATATGTACAAGGCGCTGTCTTAGAATACTTTCACATGTGTTCTCATTTTACCTTCACAAAACCAAGCAAAGTAGGTGCTCTTTCAGGAAATAATAGTTATGTCATTTGCCCAGTGTGACACAGCTATGTGTAGAACCAAAAGTTTCAAACCTAGCACCTGATTCCAAGTCTATTCCTTTACTCTGTATGAAAGCTCCCTCTTTTTATTTTCAAAGACTATATGGAGTGCCTCTAAACTCTATTACAAATTTCCCAACCCTAGCTTCTTGCCGTATGTTGGTCCTATAAAATTTCTTTAAAGACAAAAACTGTTGGGATTCTAACAATTGATGTTATCAGTAAGACAGTGGAGGCAGTATTTGCTAAGAGAACTTATTCCGCAAGCTTTTTTGGCAGAAAGGAAGATGAGATTTTCCCATTCTTAATTGTACCGTTGTGACTTGCTGCTCTTCCTCAAGCACTGCCAACTTGGGCTTGTGCCTTATAATCCTTAGCAACACAAAAGCTTGCTGTACTTTAATTATTGTGTTAGGATAAGCCCGAGTAGTTGTCTCTCCTTTAGAAAGATAAACTCTATGTCTTCAAGGAGCTTATAGTCAAAATTTGGTGGAAAATATGCCAAGGTTCAAGGGAATAGTTAGCTCTTCCTTAAGCAAATCTCTTGTCCATTTTACGTTGGTTTGTGCTTCAAATTATGACCATATTTTGAGCTCTTAGCAAGAAAGAAACTGTTAAATTCAAGGTTATATAATAGATTGCTGTAGGCCTTTGTAGAATATCAAAATGTTAATCTTGAAGAGCATTCCTTGTTTCATTGCACCTCTGCAAAGTTGTGTGAATCTCTTGACATTGAAGGAGAAAACTTTGATTGTCGGATTGGAAATCATCAATTTTTTAAAGACAATTTTTGGAGTATTGGTTTTCTCTAATTGAATTGTTTGCCTAATTCGTTTCAATAATAGTAATTATTGAAATGAATTAATAATTAGTACTAATTCATACTAATTAGTAGTACCAATTAATAGATTAATACTACTTATCTATTATGAGAGTTGTTTGAGAGGATAGAAAGTTAGTATTTCAGAATCTTTGTACTAAAGAAAAACTGATAGTGGGATGGAGAGACAAAGAGCGGAAAAGATACACTGAAAGCTTATTGGAATTTGGAGATGGAATTATGGGCTCAATGATGAAGGAACACTCTTTGGAAGGAGTGGGACTTGAGTGAATGAAACCAAACAGAAGAGACCACTTTGGGGCAGAACAATGCTGAGAATGTATTCAAGATGTAGTGAATAGTGCAGACCAGCCATATGAGATGATTTGTTCAAGGAGCCTTGGAGCATTTTTAAAAGAATGTTATAGGGGAGCCTGGCTGGTTCAGGCCATAGGGCATGTGACTCTTGGTCCTCGGGGTCGTGAGTTTAAATCCCACATTGGGCATAGAGCTTACTTAAAAGATAAAATGTTAAAGAAAAGAGAAGAATGTTATGAAAATAATTTAATCTTTATATATATGCAGGGTTGCTAGAGGAAATATACAGGAAAGGCTTGGAAATCATTTTGAAGGGCACTTAACAGCTTAGGCATGTGTTAATGATGATTTAAATTGGTGGGCATAAATGAGAATGGAAAGGAACGGTTCATTGGAATAGTGGTTGTAGAAGCAGAATTCAAAGGATGCAAGAGACTTTAAAACTGGGGAGAAGGAAGAAGAGGCATTAGTAGATTCTAGAGGTTTGACCATGGGTGACAGTATTGGTGCTGTTCACTGAAATGGTGAAGTAGAGAGGGAGAGTGGGTGGGGATTGGAGGAGGGAATTTGTAGGCAAAGGAGAAGGTATTGTGTTTAATTTTAGATGTGTTTAATTTGACACTGGAGTATTGGTGTGAAAAGTTAGTCCCATGGGCAATTGGCAATGTTCTAGAAGTAATTCAATAAAGTTTTAAGTTAAGTTTTTAAAAAAAAATTTTAAGTATTTAAGTCCAGCGCAGGACTTGAACTCATGACCTTGAGATCAAGACCTAAACAGAGCTCAAGAGTTGGACCTTTAATCAACTGAGCCACCTGGGTCCCCTAAGTCAAGTTTATTAAGGTATAATTTGCCTAGGACTGTATTCACCATTTTCAAAAAATACACTTTGTTTTGGAGAAGTTTTACTTGGGGTTCATAGCAAAATCAAGCAGAAGGTACAGAGATTTCCCATGTACCCCCTACCACTACACATGCACAGCCTCTCCCATTATCAACATCCCCCACTGGAGTGGTGCATTTGTGACAGCGGATGAACCTACACTGATATATCATTATTATGCAAAGTCCATAGTTTATATTAGGGTTTACTCATGATGTTGTACGTTCTATATATTTGCCCTTTATGAGTAATCGTTTGATGGGGCGCCTGGGTGGCTCATTTGGTTGAGCATCTGACTTAGGCTCAGATCATGATCTCACCGTTCATGAGTTCGAGCCCCGTGTTGGGCTCTGTACTGACAGTTCAGAGCCTGGAGCCTGTTTCGGATTCTGTATCTCCCTCTCTCTGTTCCTCCCCTGCTCACACTCTTTCTCTCAAAAAAAAAAAAAAAAAAAAAAAAAAGATTAAAAAAAATGGTAAGTATATCGTTTGGTGAGTTTTGACAAATGTACGCATTTGTGTTACCACAACCAGGATGTGGACCATTTTCTTTTAATGTTTGTTTATTTTTGTGAGAGAGAGAGAGAGACAGAGTGACAGAGTGCAAGCAGGGGAGGGGCAGAGAGGGGGAGACACAGAATGTGAAGCAGGCTCTAGGCTCTGAGCTGTCAGCACAGAGCTTGACGCAGGGCTTGAACTCATGAACCAGGGCTTGAACTCAGGAGCTGTGAGATTATCACCTGATCCGAAGTCGATTGCTTAACCAATGGAGCCATCCAGGCACCTCAAGATGTAGACCATTTTCATTTAACATTTCCATCTCCACAGAAAAGTCCCCTTGTACCCCTTGAAGTCTGTTCTCTGCTCTATACCCTGATCCCTTGAAACCTTTGATACATTTTTCTGTTACTGTAGTTTTTTCTACAATATTATATAAATGGAATTATTGTAGTGTGTGGCTTGTTTGGCTTATTTCCCTTAGCATGATAATCTGAGTCATCCAGTTGTTGCATATGTGTCAGTAGTTCATTACTTTTTATTGCTGAATAGTATTCCAAATTCGTTTATCCACTTACTAGTTGATGGATATTTGGATTGTTTCTAGTTTTTGCCTTATGAATAAAGTTACTGTCAACATTTGTATACAAGGCTTTGTGTAGACATTTTCATTTCTCCTGAGTAAATACCTAGGAGTAGGTTTGCTGGTCATATGGGAAGTATATGTTTATAAGAAACTATCAAACTGTTACTTAGAGTAGCTGTGTCATTTTGCTTTCTGGTCAGCAGTGGTTGAGAGTTCCAAGTGCTTTGAATCTCTTAAGCATTTGGTATTGTTAATTTTTAAATTTTAGCTTTCTGACAGGTGTGTAGTAGTATGTTATTGTGGTTTTAACTTGCATTTCCCTAATGATTGATGATGTTGAACATCTTTTCATGTTTTTGCCTCATATATCTTTGGTGAAATGTTCACATCTTTTGTCCATTTTTCAACTGAGTTATTTGTTTTACTGAGTTATAGTAGTTCTCTATTCTTGATACAAATTCTTTATCTGATAAATGTTTTAATATTTTCTTTCACGTTAGTATTTGCAGCAGAAAAGATTTTAATTTTTAATTTTTTTTTCTTAACATTTCTTTATTTTTGAGACAGGAAGAGACAGCTCATGAATGGGGAAGGGTCAGAGAGAGGGAGACACAGAATCTGAAACAGGCTCTAGGCTCTGAGCCGTCAGCACAGAGCCCGATGCGGGGCTCGAACTCACGGACCGTGAGATCATGACCTGAGCCGAAGTCGGCCGCCCAACTGACTGAGCCACCCAGGTGCCCCAGAAAAGATTTTAATTTTGATGAAATCCCATTTTATTTATGGGTCATGTTTTTTGTGTGTTATCCAAAAAGTTAAATAATTGCTGTCTCTATGGTCATGAAGATTTTTTCTTACGTTCTCTTCAAGAAGTTTTATACATTTTTATTTTTATTTTTATTTCTTTATTTTAAAGAATGGAAAGTTTTGTTTTTTTTAAAAATCTTTATTTTTGAGAGACAGATAGCATGCAGGTGAGTAGAGATGGAGCAGAGAGAATTTTGAGCAGGCTCCACACTGCCAGTGCAGAGCTGGATGTGGGGCTCGAACTCATAGACCATGAGATCACGACCTGAGCCAAAATCAAGAGTTGGGACATTGAACCAACTGAGCCAACCAGCCACCCCAAGAAGTTTTATATATTTTTAGCTGTTATGTTTAGGTTTATGATCCATTAGAATTCATTTTTGTATATAGTGGAAGGTAAGAATTAAGGTACCTTTTTTTCTTGCATATGGATGTCCAGTTGTCATTCAACAAATGTTAATTGATTTGGACATGGTGCTAATCCAGCAATAAATATGAACAGTCTATACCTGTTAAGAATATCCTGGGATGCTGTGAAAGACTTACAAAAACATAAGTTGTGGGGCACCTGGGTGGTTCAGTGAGTTAAGTGTCGGACTTCAGCTCAGGTTGTGATCTCACTGTTCATGAGTTTAAGCCCCTTGTTGGGTGCTGTGCTGACAGCTCAGAGCCTGGAGCCTGCTTCCGATTCTGTGTCTCCCTCTCTCTGCCCCTCCCCCGCTTGCATTCTGTCTGTCTCTCAATAAATAAACGTTAAAACATAAAACGTAAAAATAAACATTAAAATCAAAAATTTTAAAAACCAAAAATCAATAAACATTATGGGGCGCCTGGGTGGCTCAGTCGGTTGAGCGTCCGACTTCGGCTCAGGTCATGACCTCACCGTCCATGAGTTCGAGCCCCACGTCGGGCTCTGTGCTGACGGCTCGGAGCCTGGAGCCTGCTTCGGATTCTGTGTCTCCCTCTCTCTCTGACCCTCCCCCGTTCATGCTCTGTCTCTCTCTGTCTCAAAAATAAATAAACATTAAAATAAATAAATAAATAAATAAACAAACAAACAAACAAACATTAAAAAAAACATAAATTGTGGCATGGTATAATGCATGGGAGTATAAACATATATAGTTGAGTATTCGGATCCAGGCTCTACTACCCTTCTGGCAATAAACAGTAGCTATTATTCCATACCGAATACAGACCTTGAACATTGGATAAAGTAATTAGCCTCAGAAGAAGGAGTATCAAAGGAGGAGCTTCTTCTTACCTCATTTTCAAGATAAAGAAACCATGGTAGAGAGAGGCTAAATAATTTGTCTAACATCACACAGCTGGAAGGACTTTTAGGGTGTATTTAAAACTGGATATATATCTTGAAGCATTTGTTTTAGGTTGAGTGTAGTGTTATGTACCAGTATGCTAGACATTGAATGTTCTTCCAGAATAAAGACCATCTTGTTTGCTATTTTACTCCTTTTACCTATTTGAGAAGTCAGCAAATTATTATTATTATGTTTTAATGTTTGTTTTTGAGAGAGAGAGTGTGTGCACACATGAGTTGGTAAGGGGCAGAGAGAGAAGGAGACACAGAATCCAAAGCAGGTGCCAGGCTCTGAGCTGTCAGCACAGAGCCCAACATGGGGCTCAAACTCATGAACCATGAGATCGTGACCTGAGCCAAAGTCGGATGCTTAACCAAGCCACCAATCCCTAAGCAAATGTTTATTGAATGAATGAAAGTTACTATTAAAATTGTAGTGCAGAATATGTGAATTAGTGTTTTCTTTTTTAATTAATTTTTTTTTTTTTTTTAGAGCACCTGCAAGCAGGGGAGAGTGGTGGAGGGGGAGGGGAAAGGGGGTGAAGGAGGGAGAACCCTGGGATCATGACCTGAGCTGAAATCACTAGTCAACCACTCATCTGACTGAGGTACCAAGGCACCCTGAAAGTTGTGTTTTCTAAAAAAAAAAAAAAAATTCATGTTAGGGGCTCCTGGATGGCTCAGTTTGTTGTCTTGATTTCGGCTCAGGTCATGATCTCTAATCAGATCAAGCCCTGCGTTGGGCTCCGCTCTGACAGCGTGGAGCCTGCTTGGGATTCTCTCCCTTCCCCTCCCCTGCTCATATGTGTGTGTCTCAAAAATAAATATGTCTCATATGTCTTAAAAATAAATAAACATAAAAAAATTATTTTACTGTTATTTTTCTTGAGCTTTTGAATCTAGAAACCAGTAATGCATAAGTTGGCAATGTTGTGTTCCCACTGTGTTTCCATGTTTCCTGTACCCAATTTCCTGAGGTTGAATGAACATAAGAAATTGCAAATTTCTGGGGCGCCTGGGTGGCTCAGTTGGCTAAGCATCCGACTTCAGCTCAGGTCACGATCTCACAGTTCGTGGGTTCGAGCCCCGCGTCGGGCTCTGTGCTGACAGCCCAGAACCTGGAGCCTGTTTCAGATTCTGTGTCTCCCTTTCTCTCTGACCCTCCCCCGATCATGCTCTCTCTCTCTCTCTCTGTCTCAAAAATAAATAAACGTTAAAAAAAAAAAAATTAAAAAAAAAAGAAATTGCAAATTTCTAAGTCAAAAATTGTCAAATATTGGCTGTTTTCTATCACTCAATCCATTAAAGCCCTATATCATGTTACCTCCTTCTTTGTTAAATTGCTGTTTCCTATTTCTCATTTAGGTGAAAATAAGTAGGATAAAATAAGCGAAAAGAACATTCATTTGTTGAATAGAGTGAATATTTATCATATGCTTTGTCCTGTGCCTTAGTTTAAGAAATGGTGTATAATCTTTAAGGAGCTCACAGACAAGCAGGGTCATTGTAGCTCCTTTATCATTTTGCAGACAAAAAAAAAAAAGATGATAATTTTGTGTGATAATTATAATAGAAGAATATAGGTGGTAGCATGATGAGATAATTTATGACTCCTGCTTATCATTCTGGGAGTAGAAAATTTAAGCATTCGTTTGACATTGTTTTATGAGTGTGGATTTCATGATCTAAAATTATTGATGCTAGCCATGAGTTACTGCCACTAGGGGAAACATTTAAAAGAAGACTATATGGTGAACATACTATTAAACTGTCGACTTCTAATTGTTGCCACAGCTTCCTATTCATCCCTGTGTCATAGCATTGTGATTTGTGGATAGATTGGCATACTTCATGACTGTTGAAATTTATTGAGCAGCCTTTTTAGAAATTCAGAAATTCCAGTCTATTTTTTGGTACCCTTTATTTGAAATGTTTTAAGTCACTATTTATTTAATCTTGGCCATAATAGTATCCTTTATCTTTTCTCCAAGAGAATGGCATGGGCTTCATAAAATATTGTTATAAAAACTAACAGATAGTGGTTACTTTAGTTACTCTTTTGCCAACTATTTTTTCAGATAGTTCTTAATCTCCATTTTTGGGCATCAGGTTCTTTTGAGAACCTGACAACTGAACCTAGGAAAAGCATATATACCCTCTGATTTTTGTGTACATTTGACCCAGAAGAACTCTTTCTTTAATAACAACTATACAGGAAAATATATTTAAAATTTTTTAATTTTTTAAATTTATTTTTGAACAAGAGAGAGCGCAAGTGGGGGAGGGACAGAGAGAGAAAGAGGGAGACACAGAATCTGAAGCAGGCTCCACGCTTGGAGCTGTCAGCACAGAGCCCAACGCGGGGCTCAAACCCATGAACCGTGAGATTGTGACCTAAGCCAAAGTCAGATGCTTAACTGACTGAGCCACTGAGGTGCCCCAGGAAAAGATATTTTAAAATATGACCCCCTAAATATCCCTGCCTGGATTAGGAATCAGGTGATATATTCTTGGTCCAGTTCTGCCATTATCAGTTAGGATTACCTTGGGCATGTCCGTTAAACATTCCTTGTTTTACCTCATAAAGTTGCTTTGAGGATCACATGAGGTCATGAAATACTAACCTGCAAAGCATATGTAAACAAACTATTAATATTTTAGGTGAAGTCACCCAGTCATTAGCATTAAACTAACACTGGTTATTTTTCCTAGTTTTTGAAAAAGAGTGTTAATATACTTTTTATTCTTAAAAATACCTTTTTCAATAATTCTTTTATTAGAGTGAGTCAAAGTTTCCTTAGTGCTTTTGATTATACAAACCAAATTTTGATACATTAGCATTATATAGAATTCTGAACTAAGAATATTGGATCAACTCTGTTGTATGCTATTTAAGATGCTTTGTGTGTGTGTTACTTGTCTGCTTATGCTTGTTTTGTCTCTCTGTTTCTGAGGTTTAAATAAATGTGTACTTGAAATGGTCTTTTCTTAGATGGAGATGGGGATGGAGATGGAGCAGCTGGAAAGAAGAAGAAAAAGAAGAAGAAGAAGAGAGGACGTTAGTATCTTAAGTTGGTCTTACTTAAAAAACTTGAAGTGTTTGTTAACCAGCTGGTTTGAAGAGTAGGTTTGAAGTTGCTTAAGATCCTAGTGTATGTCAGGGAAATAAATTTAGGCTTAACAGAGGTAGAATTTAATGAAACAACTATTCTTTCATTTAATAGTCCTGTTGGTATTTTCTTTACCTATTGTTGAGATAAGGGATGTTAATAATAAGTTGGTTGCATTTTACCATAATTTAGGGATGAGTTTATCATTTAAAACTTGAATAATGCAAATAACAATTCTTTCAGGGATGACTAAAGTGATGCCACTGTGTGGTAATAGGGTAAACATAGTTGGCAGTTCACCTGCCAGCTTTGAAATTACAAGATTCTTGATGAGTATTTAATGAGGATTCCCATTATTTAAAATTTGTGCATATGGTAAAATGTTACTAATGACGTATTGCACTATTTCATATTACTTAAAATATGATCCTACTTGCGTTTTGTCTTATTTTAAATGGCAAATCAACATCTTCAGGGACCTGGAATTCTATTAGGGAGACCAGGGGGAGAATGTTAGTATTGGGGAATAAATGTTGGGTTGGGTTGAGAATCAGAACAAGTTCTAATCTTGGATGCCCTTTGGGCTGTTAGGGAACATTGAATGTCTGGTTGCACCTTTCTTTAAATCTTTCAGGCGAAAATTTTATGAATTAGAATATTGGGGCTTGACTCATTTTTATCTCTGTGTTGAGAGAAATACGTAACTTTTTTAAGAAAGCTTTTGGCTCTGCCAGCATTTTTCCTGATGGGTCTCCAGATGAAGATAGGATAGCCTTCTTTCTATTCAGGCATCTACTTTTGTTAGGTCCTTCTACACATAGGATGTCAGTTCTGTCCCTAGCATAGTCTGTATTACAAAAAAATTTTTTTTTTTAAGTTTATTATTTTTGAGAGAGAGAGCAAGCAGGGAAGGGGCAGAGAGACGGAGACACAGAATCGGAAGCAGGCTCCAGGCTCTGAGCTGCCAGCACAGAGCCCGACACGGGGCTCGAACTTACAGACCACGAGATTATGACCTAAGCCGCAGTCAGCCGCCCAACCGACTGAGCCACCCAGGTGCCTCCATAGTCTGTATTTAATGAGCATAGGCTACCTATGTTCTAGAAGTCTTCCAGGGATTATGATATCATATTCCTTCTGTTCAAAAATTGATAAAAGTGTGCCCATGAGACAAGGTATTGTCTGGAAATGGTTTGAGAGATAACTCTTTCTCCCAATACTCTTAAATTACTCCCTAACAGAAGTAGATAAACAGGGAGTAATGTTAAGGGGCTACTTTGTATATGCCACTGGTAGAATTCTTCCGCTGACAGATGTTTTACTATGATGCCATCAGCTTTTATTGTGCCTCCTCTGAGGATGTTGTTGAACCTATTGTTCATTACATTTCTTTATGAGTACTTGTAAGAGACACTCTTTTGTTTGGTCTTAGTATCAAGAATAATTGTGCTTTTCCTGAGTACTTATGTATTTATCTCATAAGCGTGATCTATATGCAAATAACCTAGCTTTAAAAATATATATATTGGCTACTAGAGGGCTTAGAGCCAAATCTGTGGTTTTGTATTGGCTGTATTTCAGGTTCTACTTTATGTTCTTTCCATGTTTTGATTTTCTCTTATTTACTGTTTCTTATTTGTTTATTTTTGATCTCCTTGTAGGCTATCATAAATCACTTCTGGAATAAGCCAAATAATGTAATAATGAGCCATTCACTGCCCTTATTTTCCTCATTTATAAAGTGAGAGAATTACAAATGATAGTAATGATAACCGTAGTACAGATCGTATAATTATTCATAGTTTTAGATAAAACTTGGGCAGGGTACATTAGTATTTTCAAAGGTTATCCAAGATTTCATCTGGTTCTTCATTTTGTGGATGAGGAATCTGAGGCTTGGCACATTTGGCCATTTGTCCAAGTCACAGTTAATAAGTGGTTAAGGCTAGTCATATTTTTATTACAAATTTTTTTCTCTAATGTTCTTTTTGAGTCTTTTGCTTTAATAATTTATGGACAGTATAAAAGGCATCTGTCAGATTTGTAGATGAAATAAAGCTGAGGGTGGTAATACTTTTGTTGATAAACTCAGGATTTCAAAAGATCAAAAAAACTGAGAAATAGACTAGGATTAGCAAGCTGAACTTTTATAGATGTACATAAAATTAGAACAGGGTAATAGGATCTAAGGATTTTGAGTGCTAGTACATTGTGAGCCAAAAAGCAGGGAGTCTTAACTATTTAATAGCTCTAAGGTTTTTAGAATTAAAAGTATAGTCTTATATTAATTATACCTTATTTGGACTATTAATATAAATCAATTCTGATACCAACTTACAAAGAACATTGACAAATTCAAGGCTGGCACATAGGGGTGAAAGTGTTAAGAACCATTTCCCTTAAAGTGGTTTCTTATCATAGAGAGGAAGGAATCAGTTGAAATGAAAAGTAAAATGTTTTCAACTGCAAAGAATAAAGCTGGAACTAACAGTATAAGTATAGGAAGAGGTTTCTAATAGTTACAGTACTTTCAAAATGAATGGATTTTTGCTTGGGAGATAAAGACTGCTTCCATTGTTAGGAGTTCACTGCCATCTGTCAGAGGCATTAGGGGATTCCTAGATTTAAGTGTAAAGCTAAATTAGTTGACCTCTAAGATCTTTTTTTATTTTAAATTTAAATGTTCCCTTTTAGGAGGGCCCTAAAACAGTGTTTTCCAAGTTTACTTGCCGATAGGACGCTTTTAAACATTATGTAAAGACAGAAAAACATTTGGTGCTCATGAGATACTATTTGGGTTAAAGGAAGGAACTGAACATGGTTCCATAGATAAATGATTTGGCTCAATAAAGTCATATTTTTATTTATATAGTTTTTTCCCCCATTGCAGAACAAAGAGAGCAAAATATGTGTTAAAATTGAAGACAAAAATCTGTAACATAAGACCAGTTATAATCAAAAGAAAACCACATATTTCACCTCAGTAGTTGAAATGCTGCAGATATACATTGAATGTCTTATATCACTGCATAAATTAACTCAACTTCCTGGCAGTCTTTGGAAATAGCAGTCATTACTAAAAGGTGATTCTTCATATAATAAGAACTATGTAACTAGTTCTTTTGTATTTAAACATTTTTTTCAGAAGACAGATCTCCAGATATTTTTGAAAGTCATCTTGGAACACTGGTGTGTTTTAGAACATAGTTTGGGAAATAATGCTCTTAAAACATATGTAAGAACTCTACCTTTTTTTAAGTATGTGGAAATTTGTGTATGGCTACCTAAATTCTTTTAGCCCTGGGTATGTATATGCTTAACTTTTATACCTTATTATTTCCTTGAAATAAGTTTTTCACTTAATTTATTAATACATAGTAGTTTTATATTTTTATTTCATCTTTATAGGATTTCTTTCGTATTTTCTTGTTGCTTCTTTGATTTTTATTTGTGAAAAACAGCCTTTATGCTATTCCATTTCCAGTATAGTAAATGAAGACAAAAACATTAGAATGTGCTTTCTGCCAAGGCATATACTATTTAAATACATAATGGAATTCTAAGGAGTTGAATATTTCTATTCCCAAGCAGCAGTACATCGGAGAGGAGGTGGCCAGCATGGTGAAATATCTTCTGTTTTTAACTGTAAGACAGCAAGGAGATTCTTTAAAATTAGGTCATATAGCAACCATTAGGAACTGAGAAAAACTGTAATGATAAGTGCTTAATTTTATTTTTAACTGCAGGAGTTAATGCTTTATTTGTATCTCACAGCAAAAGTTCAAACAGACCCTCCCTCAGTTCCAATATGTGACCTGTATCCTAACGGTGTATTTCCCAAAGGACAAGAATGCGAGTACCCACCCACACAAGATGGGTAAGGATCATAAAATAACTTCCAGTTTGATTTTTGAAAATTGTAGCTTAGCAATAAAGCAGATTTGATTTTTCTCAGAGCTTTGGTCCCCCACCTTAACAAAAGCATGTGAATTTGTTAACCAAAAATACAGTAGAAGCCCTCTTATCCAAAATAATTGGGACCGGTCATAGTTTAATCAAAAAAGTATGTTAAAGTGGGGAATAACAAAAAATAAAAATCTTTATTGATAAAAGTTAAACATTTGTTTTTTATCATTCTTGATATTTGAACATGTTTTTTCTCCTCATAAGCTATAGCCATAATGCATTGTCTTTGAATGTATTCCATTTTGAGCTGCTGTGAATAGAAACTATGTAGTCTGAGGTCTGATACTTGTAAGTTTACATTTTTTTCCCTGAAACCATTTGCAGTTCTTATCTACACTTAATGTGACAAGTTTTTTTTTTTTTTTTGATGACTTGCCTTTATTTAGACTTTTCTGAGTAGTCAATTTAGTTTTCATAGGAATAATTTTTTTTATGTACTATATAACAAAATTACAGAATTATAGTAACTGATAATTTACACCGGTTTGTGAGCAAATCACCTGATTGTTCTGAAAGGCAACATTTCCGCTGGTCAGGAGACACTCATAGTGGCATTATGTTGACTGGCTAAGAACATGGAAGCTGGGATTCATTTGAATACCAACTCTAATGCTTATTAGCTTTGTGACTTGGGCAAGTAATTTATCATGTCTTTGTTTTCATTTCTTCATCCATAAAATAAGCACTTCATAGGGTTGTTGTGAAGAATATATGTAAAGCATTTAGGAGGGTAACAGACACATGTAAGCATTGTTAGTTGCTGCTATTATTATTCAGTACAGGAACCTGTCAGCCCCTAATTTTCAGAATACAGTGGCCATTGGTCAGTATATTTTACAGAGGGAATTGAGACCATCAGTTAATCCAGTGGTTGCCATAGTTGGTTAAGAAAGCTTCTACTGTAGCCTTGTTTCACTGACCTGTAAAGACATCATTGTTTTTCTTTAAATTTAGGAAAGAACATGATATTGTTATATTTTAATCCCCCTCCTTAATTCCCAGTACCTATAGGGAATAAGTCTATAAAGTTCTGAAATTTTGTGTCATGAGCATCTTTTCTTTGGATTTGAATTCATCAATCACCATCCCTATCTTAAAGCATCTGTTTTTGAAATGTTACAGGCATGTAATTTAACTTTTTGTAGTACATACGATATAATCAACATTTATTTTTTAAATATAATCTTTTTAGTTTTTTTTTTTTTGTTTTTTTGCTTGTTCCCTCTTCCTTCCCTTCCTTCCAGACTCATGTAACCACCTAGCAGGTAGCCTTCCATATTTTTATATGCTCCTATATGTACACATCTATGTCTGTTTATGTAGGGGGAGTGTTTTGGTCTTGTTTGTTTTCCAAAATGGAATCCTATGCACATTTTCCTCACCTTTTCTCATTCAGGAAGGCTCTCCAAGTCAGTCAGAAGACCTGTTATTCTTTTGAATGGCTTTATAATATTCCATAGAATGAATATGCTATATTGTATTTCACCATTTTCTAATCGATGAGCATTTACTTTGTCTCTAATATTTTTTGCCATATTATAAACCATTCTGTAATAAGTATTTCTAAGATACACATATGTATTTATGTATACGTGTTTATGTATGTGTCTCCTTACACTCTGGCAGTTTTACTGTGTGATAGTTTTCCAGGAGTGGAACTGCTGAATCAAAGAATATGTTAATACTTTAGTTTATGATTCTCGAACTGCTAATGATTGTGAGCATTTTTTGATTGTTGGCTTTGTTCTTTTGCTCTTCTAAAAGTTTTAAAACTTTGAATATGGTATATTATACCTCTGGATTCCTAGCAGTCTCTTAGATTTTTTTCAAACTCTTCCTCTGTGTTTTATTATGTCTTTAGTTAGTCTGGAATTATTTTTGTGTAGAGTTGGGAGTGCTAATTTTATTTTATTTCAAATGGACAGCCAATTGTGCTAGAATTGTTTATTCATGAAATAATTCACTCTACTCAATGGAATAACCACCTCTGCCATATACTATATTCTCATATTATGGAACTATATTTTCTTAGTCAACCAATTTCTATTATTCTACGGATCTGTTTGTATATTCCTGTGCTAGTATTTGGATTTATCAGCAACTTTATATGTTGATAATTCAATAAGGCAAGTCTTTCTCCTCTGCCATACACGCCCAAACACAGTTCTTTTTTATACTAAGCTGTTTTTAGTCATAATAGTTTTAACACATATACCCACAGAAAAATGCTCTCATTAGAATTCTGATCAGAATTGCATTATACTTATGTATCTTTTTTCAGAAAATTGACAGTTGTGTCACTTTATCTTATCCATTGTCATAGTATATTTTCCCACTTATTCTGATTCTTTTCAGGTAGGTCCCATCCCTTTGTTAAATTTGTTAAGTGTTTTATGGTTTTGTTACTGATGTGAACAGGATGTTTTTATGTTTCCATTTCTATGTGTTTATTGCTAAGTGGAAGAAAACCATTGATTTCCTATACTTATTAAAAAATAGATTAATATTTTTTTTTCCAACGTTTATTTATTTTTGGGATAGAGAGAGACAGAGCATGAACGGGGGAGGGTCAGAGAGAGAGGGAGACACAGAATCGGAAACAAGCTCTAGGCTCTGAGCCATCAGCCCAGAGCCTGACGCGGGGCTCGAACTCACGGACCGCGAGATCGTGACCTGGCTGAAGTCGGACGCTTAACCGACTGCGCCACCCAGGCGCCCCTAGATTAATATTTTTAATAATGTGAATATAGTGGAACAGTTGAAGTAATGTTTAATACAAAGAAAATTGAGATTTTATAAACCTTAAAAACTATCTTTCCCTCCTTACTATCATCTGTTGCAAATTAAACATTGTAGAGGTAGAATAACCTCTGATTTTGAAACAATAGAGGAAGATATTAATTATATGTTATATTTCTTAAGTAATACTTAAATATTTAAAAGCAATCTTGTATGCTGTGGGGAAATGAAAAAGAAGTTTATTGTGGTTATGTTTGCTTTTTAGTAAGTTTTAATTTTTTTTTTTTTTAACGTTTATTTATTTTTTTGAGACAGAGACAGAGCATGAACAGGGGAGGGTCAGAGAGAGGGAGACACAGAATCTGAAACGGCTCCAGGCTCTGAGCTGTCAGCACAGAGCCCGACGCGGGGCTCGAACTCACGGACCGTGAGATCATGACCTGAGCCGAAGTCGGCTGCTTAACCGACTGAGCCATCCAGGCGCCCCAAGTTTTAATATTTTTTGACATTCATATAACCAGTTTTGACTATTTGCAAATAGATCAGATTCAGTATTCTTACAGGTTTGGTAAAGTATTAAATACAGTTTTGTATCTACCCTTTTTTTTTTTTTAAGTTTTCATTTAAATTCTAGTTAGCACACAGCATAATACTAGTTTCAGGTGTATAACATAGTGATTCAGCACTTCCACATATCGCCCAGTGCTTGTCACAACAAGTGCACTTACTCTCCATCACCTGTTTCATGTATTCCCCCCACCTCCCACCTCCTGTAACCATCAGTTTGTTCTCTACATTATAGGGTTTGTTTCTTTGCTTGTCTCTTTTTTTCCTTCATTATTTTTTTTTAATAAACTTACTAAAAATTACATGAATTATCACAAAGAACTTGCCTGTGTAACTACCACCCAGGTTGAGTGCATTTTATTTAGCTTTTTATTTAAAATAATTCTGTACTTAAGAGAAAGAATTCCTGCATACCTTTCACTCAGGTTCTCTTTAACATTTGCCTCATCTATTGTTCTCTTTCTCAGGGGAATATGACAATTACACCGAATATATATATTCTGTATAATATACCAGTAACATTCCATTTTCTCCTTGGAAGACAGAAAGATAGAGGGCAGATGTGGAAAATGTTATATTGGTGAATCTCTATTCATCTACTTTTTCTGAATTATTTGAAAGTAGTTTGTGTATTTTTGGATGGAATACTAGACAAGTAGGTATCATGTCCTTTGAAGGATTGTCACATCTGGAGGCACATGATATCAGGTTTTATCACTTGGATAAGGTGTATCTAGTTTCTCTAGTGTGTCATTACTATTTTTTCCTCTTATAATTAGTAATTTGCACTTCTAAAAAAACTGACTTTCTCTGTGTCTTTCCTATGTTAGTAAAAATTTTTAAACCAATTTTGAATGAGTATAATATTCTATTTTGTATCTAGTATAATTTTATTAGTGATTTCGCTCTATTTTCTGTAACCTGGAATTAGTTGTAAAGGCTTAGATTATATTTAGATTTTGACAGGGACATATAAGCGATACTGTGTTCTTCATATTGAATCATAGTCTGTTGCATCAGATACAATGTCAGATTGTTCTGTTACTAGTTTTACTGTATGTGGTCACTTGGTTAATGTGATACTAGCCAGCTGTTTCTTTTTTAAAGGTACTTTTTTCTTTTTGCAGTTTCCAAGTAATCTGTGGGTAGTTTGGTACCATTGGAATATCCTTTTTTTCAACAGCCTTCTTCTTAATTATTTTAATATCCATTCATGCTTTATCAGTTTTTTCATTGGGGACTGCAAAATGGTGAATTTCTAATTCTGTAGTTCTTTCTACATTTATTAGCTGATTTTCTATAAGAAGAATTTTCCTCTATCAGCTGGGTCTCAATTAACTTTATCAGTTAACTGTAGTTTCTTATAGGCAAAGTTAAAACATGCTTTATTTTTCTGTTTACCAGTTTCAGAGGAAGGAATTGATCTACATGCAATCTTAATTTCTAGGTTAAAGACATGCATTTTTATATGATTTTTATAAACGTGGTATTTGGTGCTTTAAAAATACAAATGTAAGTAGCTTTCAAGTTATCCATGCAGTGAGTTCAGAAATGTTTACAACTGTTTGAAACTAATAATCAGATTCCTTTGTATCTTTTGGTTTTACTTACATTTTATGCTCTTAACACATCTAGTAAAAATGATGAAATATTGAAAAGACTCCAAAATATGAAAGAGGTGTGGGAAGTTTACATACTCTGTAAACACTTCTGTAAAGATTCTCTTTCGAGCAGTTATTTTGATAGTTTTGTTGTACATACATAATTTATTTAAAAAGTATTTCTAACCCACCTCTGTCACTTGGATGAATTAATTGCCTTTTCAAATAATTATTGGCTCAGAATGTTTTTTTCATTTTATTGATTTCTATGTATTTGCTAAATAGACTGAACGTCAAAATATCAAATTTAGGAAAGAGGACAGGCTCCTTGATAATATTTTTTGTCTTTAGAACGAACCTGGAATTCTAATTTTAGATGCTGGCAGTGTATTTCTTGAATATTACTAATGGCTTTCAATTTGAACTCAAGACTTAGGAAAAGAATTTCTTTCATCTAGCTTCTGATTGGTACCTCTTTAGCAACAATGTAGAACATTCCATAACCTTTTGAAGAATTACTGCTTCTAAGAATCAGCTATGCAGCTTCAGAAGTGTAAGATGTTTGAGACCTGTTGATTTCATTATTGGAAATCTTTATTGTGCCATATTCTGATTCTAAAATGTAGTTAGATAGCATTTGAAATTTAATTATACTTAGCATTTTAATCTATAAGAAATGGATTCGAAGAATTGAAGAGAAAAAATGGGAATTGATAATGACCAATTTCATTTTCATGGCCCCACTGCATGATATCCATCAATTCCCTGTGGACATAGTCTTTCGTCTTAGCCATTCTAGAAAAAACATTTGGGGATATTTTTGTTTTTCACAAAATGTTTGGCTTTTGAGGCAAGGGGTGCAATAATGGTATGGCTATTGTATATGTGCCAGAATTATGGCCCATGTAAGAGACAACTGTGATATGTTTTGTTTAAAAACTGATGTCTTTAGCCAGTATTCTTATGCCTGGAATGATTGATTCTTAGAATGTTTGGGTTCTTGGTTTCCAGGAAAGATTTTTGGATTCATGGGAGAGAATAAACTGGAGTTATATCTGGAGGTCAGGAGATTGTGGCTTGTCTGTCCCATCTTGGAGTGAGCAACTATAAGTGTATTGCAGCTAAAAAAGATTGGGCCACATGTTGAGAATATACTTTTTAAAGGATCGTATCCTGTTACCTTCTAGTCTGAGGATGTTCCTTTGAATACTTGTAATTGCCTCTTGAATCTTCACTATTCCGATTAAAAGTAATTCATACACATTTAAGTATTTGTGGCGTTCAAAACTGACCTTAACAGATGGTGCTGCAATATTTCATTTCTTTGTAATGTCAGTATATAGATCCAAAATACATTTCCAAACAGAAAATAAGCCAAAGAAGCCTCTGTGATGCTTAAGTATCCCTAAAATGACATAGGACGGCCCCTTTGTGTCATTGTAGCAAATTAGAGGTGCTAGATGTTGGCACACAGGTAGCTGTTGCGGTAGGAAGTAATCATAACTTGACAACGACCAAGAACTCACAGTATTTGGAAACAATTTAGGGGCATACTCTAGAGCAGTTATGTTAACTTTTTCTATAAAGAGCCATGTAGTAAATATTTCAGGCCATGAGTGTTACTCACTTATGCTTTTATAGCATGCACGTAAGTACCTATAGACAGTATGTACACAAATAGACATAGTTGTATTGCAGTAAAATTTTGATTACGAGACACGTACCAGGCTGTATTTTGTATTTGCCTGCAAGCCATAGTTTGAGGAAAATAGTAATCTTGAAGGCATCACTTTATTTCTTTTATTTTTAAATTAAAACATTTTTTTAATGTTTATTTATTATTGAGAGACAGAGAGAGCATGAGCATGGGAGGGGCAGAGAGAGGGGGAGACGCAGAATCTGAAACAGGCTCCAGGCTCTGAGCTGTCAGCACAGAGCCTGATGCAGGGCTCCAGCCCACAAACTGTGGGATCATGGCCTGAGCCGAAGTTGGACACTCAACTGACTGAGTCACCCAGGCGCCCCAATGAAGGCATCGCTTTATACTGAGTATAATTTATACCTCAGTGATCACTGAGTTGTGAACTGTGTATTCAATATTGCCAGTAATGTATGAAAGTTATAAGAACTTTTTAAAAGATTTTCATTTGAAAAGTTACTATTTTTGAAAGGTGCTGCTTAAAGGGAGTCAGTGTATCTTCTCATTTCCCAGATACTGAATAAAAAATATTTGTTATCCCTGGCAGTTTTCAAATATGAACCATATCCTTCAAGGAGCATCGCCTCTTACATTAGAAAGATCCTGCAAAAGCACATAATATTTTATATTTTGATGAAAGTGTATGTAGATTTCTGGTCAAGTTTTCATATTAGTACTTACCCTGTTGATGAAATTAAACGTTAATTTTTGGTGTGGTCTTTTGAAGTCTCTCAGAGTAACCTTGAGTGGAAGGATAATTTTTTTTCTTCCACTGCTTGGTTTCCAGGACTCTTTTCTGGCTTCTCTGTTTTTTTTTTTTTTTTCCTTTTTGTGTTATTTTTGTGTGGCAAAGTTTTAGTCTCTTTGACTATGAATGAAATTTCACTTGAGGACTTTGAGAGTCTTACAAAAAAGGTTTAACTTGATTTGGCTTGATTGCAAGTGTGTGACTACTCGTATTTCAGAAACTTTGCTGATGTTTAATATAAGAAATTGAATGTGTGACATTTTTATCTAAAATGTCTTATATTAGTGTATTTTTATCTCTCAGCTTTTATGCTTATCTGCTGTTTCTAAAGTGACTAATACTATGCTATACATACTATAAAGGCGAACAGCTGCTTGGAGAACTACAAGTGAAGAAAAGAAAGCATTAGATCAAGCTAGTGAAGAGATTTGGAATGATTTTCGAGAAGCTGCAGAAGCACATCGACAAGTTAGAAAATATGTTATGAGCTGGATCAAGCCTGGGATGACAATGATAGAAATCTGGTAAAAGGAATATATTTTTGTAAGAATGTGATAAAAAAAAATTTTTTTTAAGTGCTAACTCTCCAGTTGTAATGTTTGGCTTTCTTACTACTTTGCTTAAACTTGAAGTGAGGGTTCTAGAAATATGAGTTCTTATACTGTAAATGTAATGAGGAAACCATAAGAGGACATTTATACCTCAACAACCCTATTTTGTACTTTGTACACTTATATGTGCAAATGCACACATTACTCTGATTCTTACTTTCTGTTTGGAAGTCTATTACTTCACTAACAATTTGTATTAAAATTATTGGTCACAAAACAGTTACAATGCAATGAAGAAACCAATAAAGGTACTTTGTCTCTAGTTTTCCTTTCGAGTAGTAATTAGCTATAAAAGGCAACAGTTCTCTAATTCAGACAGTTTTTTAAATGTGCAACATTGAGCAAATAAAATGTAATCAACATTTATATTAGTCTGAGTGGAGAATCTCACTTCCTTGTAACTAAGTTAAAAGTGGATTGTGTGGTTCTGTTTCTCCAGATTTCTAGTGGAATTGAATTTTTTTAATCTTTTATCTTTTAGAAATGAGCTACTATTTTCATAGCATCAGAGACTATTAGTCATTCACATCCAGGAATTGTTCAGATCTTTCCCAGAAAGTAACTTAAGAGTTTTGGTAAATTCTCTGGACCTGATGACCTTTAAGGTATATAAAGATAAAAATGTAAATAATTTTTTTTTTTTAAATAGTGAAAAGTTGGAAGACTGTTCACGAAAGCTAATTAAAGAGAATGGATTAAATGCAGGCCTGGCATTTCCTACTGGGTGTTCTCTAAATAACTGTGCTGCCCATTATACTCCAAATGCTGGTGACACAACAGTATTACAGTATGATGACATCTGTAAGATAGACTTCGGAACACATATAAGTGGTGAGTTTTTGGAAATAATTCCCCCCCCCCACCTCCAGAAAAAATTAGTCTTCTCTCTGTTAGATGGGGCTCAGGTACTTGAACTCCCTGATTTTCTTCTTTATGCCTCACTTTTCAGTAGAGTTGTGTTGAGCCAGTTTTTGAGATTTACTTTTCAGTATCCTACTACATGGAGTATAATGCAAACCATTGGGTAATTGAGGTTTATAACTCTTTGTATCAAGGTGAGAAGAAATTAATCTTGTTTATTCATGTTGTTTTAGGAATTTATCTGTTAATAAGAACAACAAACATTTACTTAGAACGTTTAAGTTTACCAACCTTTATACACTTGCTAGCTTTTCTAAATTCTGCCCCCAAACCTTGTTGGGTGAGTACCTTTTATCTCACTTAGGTGAGAAAATAAAGTTCAGATAAAGAAAATAAAATTCAGATAAAGTACTTACCTGAGGTTTTGCTAAATTGCAGCAGCTGCACTGATTGGTGTCTGTAGACCTTTACATTTTCTCTGCCCACATTACTGTTCCTTAGTCCCCAGGTTTTTCTCTTTTTGATTTGTTTCTGTTTATATTTTGCTTATCCACCTAGGTTAGTACTATATTGGTGCTATCTTGAAATGTTACATACTGACCCTGGAATTAGTCTTTGCATTCTGAAACTTTTATATAACTTATTTATACTTTTTTTCACTTTGATTTTGAATGCTGTGTGGGTACTTGGACTGCTGCCTTCATTTGAGCCCATCGTTTTATTTGCATGTTAACTAGGCAGATTAATAGAATAGATGCAATAAAGTAGACAAATTGACTAGCTGATACATCAACTTAAAGAAGAATTTTCTCTTTCAGGTAGGATTATTGACTGTGCTTTTACTGTTACTTTTAATCCCAAATATGATACATTATTAAAAGCTGTAAAAGATGCCACTAACACTGGAATAAAGGTATGTGAACTGGAAGCACAATTTCATTCAATGTATTTTGAGCATTTTATAGCCTGTTAAAGGTCTTTGGATTATGTAAGACTGGTCCACTGCCCTTAGGATTTTAAGTGGACAATTCTAGTATAATATACCAAGGTTTTATAAAGGAAGTTATAATATACAAAGCAGTTTTATCTAATTGCCCTTTATTTTAGAATACTAATAAATTGTAATAAAATTATGCATTTTGAGTAACAAGTATATATATCATTTTGTTTTTAGTGTGCTGGAATTGATGTCCGTCTGTGTGATGTTGGTGAGGCCATCCAAGAAGTTATGGAATCCTATGAGGTTGAAATAGATGGGAAGACATATCAAGGTATGTTTTTAAAAAATGAATATTATTTTGAAATGCATGTGACCTCTTGCAGAATTAATTTTACAAAGTAGTGTTGAGTGCTTTCTTTATCTCCTGGGAATATAAAGAGGGAAAACGGAGGGAAAATAACTTCATCTTATTAGGAAAACTGGTCACTAGGTGGGAACTCTTGCCGAGCTGCGGTGGTAGCTGATAAGATACCCAGGGATTTATCTGAGAATGGCCAAAATGTAGACTTGGTTTTCTGTGACTAAGTCAAATTGAGGCTTAAAAAGAAGCCAGGGACTCATTCCATTGATGAGCCCTTCACCTTTTTTTTTTTAAGTTGAGTTCAGAATTTAGAGCCCAGTTAATTCCTTGTGTGTTTTTTCTTTAATCTTTATTCCCTTTGCCTCTTGGTCTTTCCCAGCCACTGCCTTAGGTACACAGTCCCAGAGTCACCTGTGCTTTGTGCTGCTTTCCTAGCTCTCAGGGTCTAACCACTGTCCTCCTTCCTGATCTGTGCTCACTGCTCTCTGTAACTACTGTTCTAATAACTTTTTAATTTTATTTTTATTTATTTTTATTTTTTAGTGAGTATATTTATTCTAATAACTTTCTTAAGGAGTGTTTCCCACATTTCCTTTAACCAAATCCTGTCTCTCCCTTGTAGTCATCTGAGCAGAGACATTCATACCTCCTTGACCTCTGTAAATTCACATGATTTATTTAGCATTCTTTGCCTGACCTTGTTGATACTGATAGACTACTGTGTTTCTACCAACTGCAGAAGGTATTCTTCCTCTGCAACCTGATGGTGTATGTCCTTGTTGCTCACAAATCCATAATCCTGTGAACATCAGTGCAAATCAATCATTTCTACAGTATAATCAATATAATTGTCATTGTTTCATTGTTGTAGAGTTGAAAAAACCTTGCTACCTAATTCTGCCTTAAAAGAAAGGCAACTTGTACTGGAATTCTAGCACTGCAGAGATAGATTTTTTTAAACCATTTTTATTGTGGAATATCACTGAAAATACATGCAACACAAAAATTCAGTTAAACAATTGTAAAAGTTATGTAATTTTATCCCTTGAGAAATAGAATATTGTCAGCATTCCAAAAGCCCTTCAATTCTGTATACTCTTTTGAATTACAGCAGTCTTCCTCTAGCAAACCACAGTCTTGAGTGCTAAAGTATTTACATTTGCTTTTCTTTATGTCTTTAGTATCTAACTATGCGTCCTTAAACAACAGTATATTTGTGCTTAACTTTTACGTATATAATAATAAAACAACATGTATATAATTGTGCCTGTTGTTCTTTTTTCTTTAGGTTTTATTTTGTTGTTCAGTGTATCCCCAACCTTTCATTTTTATTGTTGAGTAGTATTCCATTGTGTGAATATACCACAATTTGTTCTGTAATTGGTCTCAAGACCTTGGAGTTGTTTGGATTTTCCTTATTAACATTTGGAATGTGCTATAATTGTAAAATTTAAGATAGGGAGGTGTGTGGATTCCATTATGTAGGCCAAAGCTTTCTGGAATTTTCTACACCCTGGTGGCAGTCCTGCTAGATTCATTTTGTGTCCTGGGATCTTCAAGCCCTAGGACTGGAAGTCCAACACCCCCCTTTGTCAACTGAAGAAAAAACTGTATGAGTTGGTTTGTGAAAAAAGTAAAAAAATGTATGGTTTTACATCCTGTCATTTCGACACAGTATCCACATTTTCACATTACCTTTTGGTCCATAACTGTAAAAATATATTTTGTTTGTAATCACTGTGTACATGACATGTACTGTGTAATATAACTTTATATTAACAGTACCTCCTTAAGGGCACTTGGCTGGCTCAGTCCATGGAGTGTGTGACTCAAGGTTGTGGGTTTGAACCCCATGTTCGGTGTAGAGATTAAATTAAAAAAAAAAGTTAAAAACGAATGAAAAACAATACCTCCTTAGATGACCCCCCATTGTTACCTCATCACATAGTTTTTTCTTTTCCCATCATCCCCCTTTACTCCGTTCTAGTTTTTAGTAAATTGCAATTAACATCTTTTCTGTATTCTGCTAGTTTTCCAGTTTGTACTTAACTATGTCAATGCGAGGTTATTTAGTAGTGCAGTATCGTTTTTAAATCAATGCTTGAACTCTGTGCTAGAAAGCCAAGAGATGTGTTTGTGCTTCTGGAAACCTTGAATAACTGTTTTCCTATTATGCCAGTGAAACCAATCCGTAACCTAAACGGACATTCAATTGGGCCGTATAGAATACATGCTGGGAAAACAGTGCCCATCGTGAAAGGAGGAGAGGCTACAAGAATGGAGGTATGTATGCCATACATACAAAGTGTTTATTGTGAAGCATTCTGATTTTTTTTTTTTTTTCCTAAACTAAAGTTAGTGATAGTTGAGTATATAGTATGTTGAGCAAAATTAACTTGCCATCTTTACTGGTCTGTGTGAGTATGCAAATTGTGTCTGGTCAGGCTAGGGCTCAGTCAGCTATGGAAGTTGGGTATGTCAGAGGATTGTTCATTCAACACATAATGAGTATTTACTAAGCATCTCTTAGATGCCAGTCTCTTTAGTAGTCACTGAGGATGTAGTAGTGAACAAAACAAAATTCCCTGCCTGTATAAAGCCTACATTCCAATAGGAGGACATAGACCAAAAAGTGCTAAGGAGATAAAGCAAGGAAGGGTGGATGACTACCAGGGGGTTATTTCATGTTGTTTCTTATATGAAGTAAATAATAACCTCAGCCTGAAGTTAACAAATGGCAATTTTAATTGGTTCTGAATTTTTCTTCTCTCCCCTTGACCTTACATATTCTTTAGGAAGGAGAAGTGTATGCCATTGAAACCTTTGGAAGCACAGGAAAAGGCGTTGTTCATGATGATATGGAATGTTCACATTATATGAAAAATTTTGATGTTGGACATGTGCCAATAAGGTGAGAGACTGTTGTTTTTATAGGAGTATTAAGCTTCTTTTCCCAGTTAGTAGCATTTTTAAAAATGTGACAAACATTCACAGTGGTATATTCATTAATGTACAGTTCTATAGCCTACCAGTAAGTTGTGTGGATTTTTATAATACAGCAAGGAAATTGGCCTGTTAAAAATCTTAACTGAAATGAAAATGATATAGGCAAGTATTCTCTTCAGATCCAGTTTCTAATAATTGTTAATACTTTCAGAATCATTTTGCTGGCATTTCTAGGTTTTTGTTCTTAATATTTTCCTATTGATAAACTTTCTATTTTTACCTTTTTTTCCCCCTTAAACTTTTTGGAGAAGATGGTTGAAGGATGGATTTATACCTCCTTTATGTGCAGGTCTTTCAGCTTGGTGCACAAAAAAGGAAATTACCACCATAATACTGTTGATGAGTCTCTACTGGGAATTTAACACACATATGTAGACACATAAATAAATACGTAAGATAGTCTTCAGGTGGTCTCCCATTCAGCTGCCATCTATAATTAGGTATGGGCTGTTATACATTCTGACTTTTGAATGTTGAAAGAGACAAAAAGTTTTTTGAAGTTAATTACCAAGTAAAACCACAGCTACCATATGAGTTTTCCTTAATGGGGAAAATGAGTTGGTAACTTTTTAGCCACCTGTTAATTTTGGATTTTCTCCTCTCAGGCTTCCAAGAACAAAACACTTGTTAAATGTCATCAATGAAAACTTTGGCACCCTTGCCTTCTGCCGCAGATGGCTGGATCGCTTGGGAGAAAGTAAATACTTGATGGCTCTGAAGAATCTGTGTGACTTGGGCATTGTAGATCCATATCCACCATTATGTGACATTAAAGGATCATATACAGCACAGTTTGAACATACCATATTGTTGCGTCCAACGTGTAAAGAAGTTGTCAGCAGAGGAGATGACTATTAAACTTAGTCCAAAGCCGCCTCAACATCTTTTATTTTCTAAGCTTTGTTGGAGTACATTATACCACAATTAATTTGCAACATGTTTGTCTGTTTAACAGTGGACCTATGTAATGCTTTTATCCATGTTTAAAAAGGAAGGACTTTGATCAAATGCAAACCATCTAATGTAATTAGCCAAGGAAAAAGCTTTCAGGACTTTCAAATGTTAACTGTTTTTCCCATCTAGTAAATGCTATAAAGCTCAAATTAGTTAGGAATGACTTACACATTTTTTGTTTTAAAACACCTAAGAGATGCTTTTCAGATATTTATATTGCCATATTCTTAATTGAATGCTTTGAATGACTACATCCAATTCTGCACCTATACCCTCTGGTATTGCTTTTTAACCTTCCTGGAATCCATTTTCTAAAAAATAAAGACATTTTCAGATCTGAGAGCTACATTTCAATGTCTGTGGTTATAATTCTGCACAGGAAATAGCTGAACTTAACGTAGGGAAATGTAGAGCCTTTTATCTGGATTGTAGACCTCTACACTGAAACTTTTCTTCTGACATAATGGCTAAAACAAGATCTACACATGCATAATGTGGGAAAATCTTCACAAATTAATATAAAGCTTTAGGAAAGGTTTGCCTTTATTTTCTTTTTAGAACCATATTAGTCTTTGTCTTTCATTTTTTTCCCATGACATTATGAAGATTAATTGAAACATGACCTGGTAGATACATTGTACCAACTTGAAACCTTGATTTAGTAAAATCTCAACATTTAGATCCTTTATCCAGTGGTAGTTTTTATCAGGAAATGTATTCAGCTTGCTCAATAAACCAAAAGGGCATTTAAAACTACAAATACTAGAACAGGAAAACTTCCCATACTTGGATCTTGCTATAGTTAGAAAAGTTAAATTGAACTATTAGGCTTTTCCATTAATGAATCAAATTCACCCTGCCCCTTGACTGGCTTGAATTAAAAACTAGTGGCATTTCAGTTACACTAATTATGGCAGCTAAGTGCGTAAGTTGAATGTAAGATACCTAATATTTACTTGTTTAAACTGAGTCCCACTACAGATTCTTGAACAAATTGCCTGAATTCTTTGTAACCGATTTGTTGGGAATGTTCCAACACAATTTCAAAATTGTTTATGTACCAAGGTAAAGCCTTAATTTGTATATGCTTTAGCACAATAAGATTCACTGCCTCTGGGATGCTGTTTAGTTTGTATTTTGTTTAATGTTTTTCTTATAGGAAGAAAAACTGGATTTCTGTACTTAGATCATTTATTATATATATAGCATTAGAGCTATAAATGTTGTCTTATGGGGTAAACAATCTAGTTTTCAGTTATATGAGCCATGTTTATTATGGTGCTAATGTTCAATAGCTACTTTCAAATTATTTTCTCCAGTTTCTGTGATGTGCTAGTGGCAGAGCTCACAAGCTCATGCTTAGACATGTTATAGGGCTTGGGCCCTCCAGCTAGTTCTCTTGGGGTTCTGAGTCCATACTACTTTGATGTGTTTTGGTGGGAGATATAAAGTATCTCAATTAATATGCTCAAGAGTTTTATAATTTACCCTGTGAATGAAGAATATTGGAGCATTATAAGACCTCTCTTTAGCAGTAGGGATCTCAAACCAGTTATGACCTCCAAGCTCTCTTCCTAGTAACTCTTGTGAGCAGTAGCATCGCTGCATGCCCCTGGAATAGCTGGAAGAAATATGATCTTGTAAATAGGAAAGCTGTCACTTAAAAACATTGTATTGTTTACCTACTAGCCATGTATCTCTTGAAATCATTTTGTTATGTTTACAATGATGTACCTTATTAGTAACAAATTATTAGTTGATGTTTAACAAATAGTGCCTTTAGTAAATTATTTTACAACCAAAACACGTTGTTTTTTGTTAGATCAACTTAGCCGAATGTAGAAGTCTACACTAAGATGTACAATAAGAAATTTAAGTTTCTGTTCATTGGCTAGGTTTTGGTTTTGTAAATTTAATACATCTCTTTATATCCATTTTAGGTTTGTAGCAAAATTGAGCATCAAGTACAGGATTCCCATATACCCCCTTGACCTCACACACATAGTCTTCCCCTTAGGTTTTAGTTTTGAGGGATTAAAAAGTAAAAGGGTCGGGGCACCTGGGTGGCTCAGTCGGTTGAGCGTCTGACTTCGGCTCAGGTCATGATCTCACAGTCCGTGAGTTCGAGCCCCACGTCGGGCTCTGTGCTGACAGCTCAGAGCCCAGAGCCTGGAGCCTGTTTCAGATTCTGTGTCTCCATCTCTCTCTGAACCTCCCCCGTTCATGCTCTCTCTCTCTGTCTCAAAAATCAATAAAGGTTAAAAAAAAAAAAAATGAAAAAAAAAAAAGCTATGTGCATACATATAGGTGTGTATACCTTTAAAAAAAAAAAGTAAAAGGGTAAGTCACTTTCTTTCTCATATATTTTTATATTGAAATAAGTACTGAAACATCTATACCATTACAAACAGCATATCTTGCAGAGTTGTCTTTAAATTATCTCCCTAAAACCAGGTGCTAAAGTGTGTAGCAGTTTACCCAAGTATAAAGTAATCCTTGAAATTAAAAAAGTTTAGACTCAGGTATCTTGACCACATAAATCTTTAATGAGGTATAATTACATTAACAGTTGAGGTAACAACTTGCATAGGTAATTAAGTGAAAGATTTTAAACTTTAGCCATTTAATACTCAGGCTGTATTTTGGCATAAATGACTTGTCTGTTCAGTGATAAATTCTCATTGCACTTCATGATCAGCTGCCCCAGCAACTTGCTCTCTGAAATTTAAGGAAAATTTGCTAATAGAGGTCCTTTTCAAGCTTATACTTAATAGATGAACACTGGCAAAAAACAGCATTCTATAGGGTATTATCTTTCATGAAGATTTCAACCTACAAGCAAACCTAAAAAGAATAAATGATCTTCCAGGGGTTAACACTGAGCTAAGATGTGAAATAGCTGATCTATAGAGGTTAGTGGATGATAAATTAGCAGCAGTAGGAATTTAAAGAGATCTAGTAAGATTATTTGGGAAGAGCAAAGAGTATTTCATAACATATTTATAATAAAATGGAAGTTTAGATAGTTTTTTTTAAAAGGGCCAAGTATTTGAACATCTGAGGTTCCTAGTCTTCACATAATCGGAGCAAGAGTGAGTAATCCAAGCCTATTTAGAAAATGAGATTTAGAAAAATTATTTAGAAAAAAATGAGATGCTGAATATATTGCCCAGTTGCCAATTTTGAACAATTATCTTCTCTGTTTTAAGCAATTTTTTCTCTTAAAGAAGACTTATTTTTTTCCTTTAAAAATCTCAAGATATGATACAGTACAAAGCTTTTAAGAGATCTAATGTTAAACATAAAAAAAAACCTCACATCCAAGTTAAACTGTACTTGCTTACCATAATACACTGCTGAATTCAGATTTTTGATAAGACTGCTTTATTAGAATCTGGACAAACCTGTTTGCTGCCAAACAAATCATTGTAAGTCTGAGCCATCATTGTTTTCATGTCCACAGTACTGAAGTAATTTAAATATACTATTTATAAAGCTGTCATTTTCATTTGTATGAAGTTTGACTATGCCAAATAAAGAACAATTATTAAAACTTAATACATTTTTGAAAAAAATGAAGTTCCTTTAATCAAAGGAATGTTTGTTCTGAGTCCTGTAACACACAAAGCCTCAGGAGTATCAATTAGTGTGACTGATGAGTATTTAGGTAATACCTTGGTATTTCACAGTGAATGTAGTAGTTTAACTGCCGTCAAGGGGCAAAGGTAACTTCACTATGCAAATGGCCTGAAAGAAATTTTTTCTTTTTTGGTAATATCATTAGTGAAGACTATCTAATTTCCACCTAATAAGAATTTGTATAGAAAATACCTACAAAAGCTAAATAAAAAATGTATAAAATGATGCCACCTGAACTTCAGTAAAAGATTGCACAAATTCATGATCTGAGCCAATTAAGACATGAAAATATAAAAGAAGTAATGCCAGTATGAAGTAAACACTGAAAGTTTAAAACTCCCAAGTACTTGAGAAAAGTTTAGTTACCTGCTGTCATTGATATACATGTTTATGCTAGTTTTGTCTCTGTAAAAACCGTTTTGTTGTGGATACAAAATGTATAAACTGTGCACTGATTCCTAAGTAAAAAATTAAAACAATGAAGCTCAAAATCGTAAGCCCTTTTAAAAAGTATATATAAAATCACAAGAAGAAAGCCCCACTGTCTTTGGATCAGCTAAGGATTTCATTAGAAGAGGTATCAGCTTCTTCATTGGGATGTTGGCTACCAGACAGGAGTTCTGGAGGCAAGAGTTTAGAATGTCCATTCTCAGTAACTCGCTGGGTATAAAACAAGATATAAGCTTGGGCCTTGCATACTTCATCCATAGTGCACATGCTTAGCTTGGAATCATTGCAGTGTACCCAGAACCCTAGAGTGAAGCACAGAAATATACCTTAATGTTTATAAAGGAATTTTAGAAGTTTCTAGTATAAATTAAAATGGATTTAAAGGTATTAGTTTCAGTAAGAGTTAAAGTTTCTTTGAAGGGAAAATAATTAGCCAACTCCTTTCTTTTAAATAGTTTGGGCAGTATGTTACTCTGGATTTATCTACCTTTATTCTACAAGTAGTTTTAAGTTAAAGAATCTGATTAGTTCAACTGACACAATCTTTAATTCCAGGTATCATTTTACCAGTTAATGCTTTTGCTACTAGTCATACTGTAAAGCAAACAGTGTACAACTCGCTCTTGGTAGTTTATTGTTAAATTAATTGCCTTCGTGGATTATGTGGGCTTTCTGTCCACACGTCTTTTGAGTTTATTTTGTGTAGGGTGAAGGGAAATGGTATGAATGCGGAGGCTCAGTCGTCGTTCAATAGTAGGTAAGGAAGGGAAATAAAAAAACCCTAAGTCACTTGTTACCTATGAAGACTGTTCTTGAGGGTCCATGGAGGCAGTAAATTAAAGTGAGTTTTGTTAAAACCTAAACTCAGGGTTTATTCTAAGTATCTGTGATCCCAGTTTATTAGATGGTCTGTTCTCTAGCAAAATTAACTAGATGAAACCCGTAAACAGAGGACTTGCCCTTAGAAATATGCCTGTAATAAAAGATAGCACTAGGGTGCCTGGGTGGCTCAGTTGGTTAAGTGTCCGATTTCGGCTCAGGTCATGATCCCACAGTTCATGAGTTCAAGCTCTGTGCTGACAATTGGGAGCCTGGAGCCTGCTTTGGATTCTGTGTCTTTGTCTCTGCCCTCCCCCACTAGTGCTCTTTCTCTCTCTCTCTCTCTCATAAATAAACGTGAAAAAAACTATATAAAAAAAGATAGCACTGAATTAATGCAACCATTCTTACTATCTTATTGCTACAGCCTTTGAAAGTCAAAACTACTACAATCCTGCAGAAAATATCCATTTTCTGCACAAACTCTCAGTTTTTTTATGAACTATAGAAGTATTCTTGAAAGAAAACAAAAGGTCAAGTGGCTTCACTTAAGATGATTTAGTGGTCAATTTAGAAACTGTAAAGCCTAAACTCCAGCTTCCAAATTTGACCCAAGATAAAATACTTTTCCCCATCTACCCATCTATACCTCCTTCAGAATTATAGCAGTAGGCAGTGTAGTGTCCTGAGCCAAATCCTTTCCCATGGTGCATTACTACAGCAGATAAGTCATAGATAAAACATTCTGGTCTGAGGGATTTCAGGGATTCCCTGCAGCAATAAGGCTCCATGTTTAAGATTTCTTCAAAGCCAACATGAACACCAATTTTCTCTCGGTTATTACGTCCTGACCACCTGTGAACAAACCAGGGTAAAATTATTTAAAAAAAAAAAAAATCAATGGAATATAAACATGTGCCAGGTTCAGACAGTCATAATAATAGGTCTCAGTATAGAATACAAAGTATCATATGTAAAATAATGTAAATATAAAATCCCTTCAATGCTGAAGGTGGCTATAAATGGAAGAATTTAGGCTTATTAAACAGGTCTAGTCAGGTTTTAAAGTATTTGCCTTCTGTAGTTAGATGATAATATAGGAAGAAAATTAATATAAGAAGGAAATTACGGCCCTATGGCAGTTTCCCCCTTCTAATGGATTAAAGTACCAAAGGGTTTTTAAATTTTTATTTATTTATTTTTGAGATTGTATTTATTTTTCATTAAAAAAAAATCTTTTAAAGGTTTATTTATTTATTTTGAAAGAGACTTACAGAGTGTGAGTGGGGTAGGGGCAGAGAAGGGGAGAAACGAATTCTAAGCAGGCTCCGCACTGTCAGCACAGAGCCTGACATGGGGCTGGAACCCACAAACCCAGGATCATGACCTGAGCTGAAATCAAGAGTCGGATGCTCAACTGACTGAGCCACCCAGGCACCCCTAAAGATTTTAAATAATCTCTACACCCAACACAGGACTTGAGCTCACATCCCCAAGACCAAGAGTTGTAGGCTCCACCAACTGACCAGCCAGGTGCCCACCAAAAGGTTTTTAATTCTCTGTTGCCTTGTCACACCATAAGGGAGATACCCCAGAAGCTAGAGTTTGTACTTGGGAAACATACTCTGGATCCTTCTTGGCCAGATGTGGAGAAAAAAACAGAACAAAACCTCTAATTCCTCAGAACACTTCAGAGCTCTTCAAAAAAAAAAAAAAAAAAAAAAAGGAACTGTGACCCTTCCTTGTAAGTCAGCAAAATACTCATTAGGGATAGAACTCTAATAGTGCCTCTATACTGTCATTTTCCCAGCCTGTTGGTCATCCTTCTTGGTACTAGATCAAAACATGGCAAACAATGTTTTTATCATACACAGAGTATGAGCTGGTGCTACAAGGGAAAATAATGTAATACACGGTTGTTCTTAGAAGGGATTATAATGCAGCTTGGGTACTGTGGTGCAGGGACAAAAGACAGCCATTGATGAAAATATAATAGCATTAAAGTACTAAAACATGAAGTTATAATAGATAAAAATAAGTAGACAAAGGAGAAAGGAATATAGATAGGTTTTGTGAAGTCCAAATATGTGAAGATGCTATCAGTACAATATAAACTGGTATGGAACTAAAGGTGAGACTTGCAAATTAAATGGACTAAGACTCATATCCCAATCCTTCCCCATGAAATGTATGAAAAATCCTACATCCAGTGCACCTTTAGTCAGGATGGAAGACCAAGCACGTTAAAAAAAAAAAAGGGACTTGCTTAACGTAAGTTCCTATAATTCTTATCATTCACAAGTTTATATTTTATTTAACCATAAAATTCAAACCTTACATTATTTAATAATGCTCAATAAACACTTGTATGCCATCTAAATAGACAATTGATTCCTATTGATAAGTTTGGCACCCAGTTTTTTTCTGCTGATACAGTAAAATGTGGGTGCCTGGGTGGCTCAGTGGGTTAAGTGTCCAACTCTTGATTTCAGCTTAGATCATGATTTTTTAAAAAAAATTTTTAATGATTATTTATTTTTGAGAGAGACAGAGCACAAGTGGGGGAGGGGCAGAGACAGAGGGAGACACAGAATCGGAAGCAGGCTCCAGGCTCTGAGCTGTCAGCACAGAGCCCGACGTGGGGCTTGAACTCACAAACCATGAGATCATGACCTGAGCTGAAGTCGGACACTCAACTGACTGAGCCACCCAGGTGCCCCTCAGATCATGATCTTGAGGTTTGTGAGTTTGAGCCCTGTTTTGGGCTCTGCACTGACAGTGCGGAGCCTGCTTGGGATTCTCTCTCACTCTCTCTCTGTCCCACTCATGCTCTCTCTCAAAATAAATAAAACACACACACAAAAAAAGAAATACAGTAAAATGACAACAAGATAACACTATACCCTAAGTGCACAGTGGTTTACTTCAAAGAGAAGGGAGAGAATGGACTGGGAGACACACGTGGGGAGCTTTTACGGTACTAGAAAAGAGGCTCCTGTATGCCCCTCTGCAATCCCATTCTCCCCTTTATCTTTTATATATCCTATATATTTTATACACTGGCAAATCTTCATTCAAAGATGAAGAAAAAGGAGAAAGACAAAGTGGTAAAGGCAGCATAAACAAAATCTCTGAATCAGAAATAAATATGGCATGAAGGGTCAAAAATGTTTTGGGCAGAAGATGGAAAGGGAGTCAAACAGGTTTAACTCTAAGGAAAGCTTCAAATACCAGGTTAAAGCAGCAATTATGAAAAACAGGAAGTTCTTTAACAGTTTACAGTAGCCGATTCAGTACCAATTTATGTAACCAAAATTTGAGTCCTTTCAGTTTTTTCTTTACAGAATCTCATTTATGTTCTTACCTCTCCATGCTCCCTGGCCCTGGAATACAACATTAACCTCCTAATTAGTCCTCCAGTTTCCACTCCACTTGATTTTATGCACAATGGCAGGTCTTGCCTGACTCCACTAAACCTTTTGTTTATACCCTTCCCTGTTCCTTTCTCCATACCTTTGTTCATGTTGCTCCCTTAGGCTAAAGTGCTCCTCCTTCTGTACATGCCCCATTCGTTCACTTAGTAAATATTTTCGGCCAAATACTATGCACAGAATTTGGTTCTGGGCCTTGGGATACAGGAATGAAATAGACAACATTCCTGTCCTTACTGAGCTTCTGTTCCACTAGCAGAGGAAGAGAAATAAGTAAACTACTAATTGCAGGTGATGGGTTCTGTCATTTAAGCAGAAACAGGGTAGTATGATAATGAGGGTTGGGTGGTACTTTTTTTTTTTTTTTTTAGAAAAAAAAGAGAGAGCTTGAGTAAGGGTGAGGGGCAGAGGGAGAAAGAATCTTAAACGCTCAGCATGAGCCCGACACAGGGCTAGATCCCACAACCCAGGGATCATGACCTGAGCCAAACGCGAACCCTTAACTGAATGGGCCACCCAGGTTCCCTGAGTGGTGCTACTTTTAAGTAGGATGGTCAGGGAAGTCTGCTCTAAAGAGATGACATATAAACTGAGATCTGAATAATATAAAGACCCCTATGCCATAAGAGAGGCTTTGGGAACATCAGCTAACTCCCTCTTCTAAGTCTCTGATAAATCAATTTGTATGTAATTTGTGATACTTAGTATTTCTATTTCACCACTATTTCTGTGCATGCCTGATTATAATCTTGAGAAAAGGAACCTACTTTATAGTCCCCAAAGAATATAGAACAACATCTTGCATTAACCAGCACTCACATGTTATTTGCTGACTGTACCTTTAACAGCTTCAATAAGTAACTGAAATAACTGACTAGAGTTAACAGTGAATATCTCTGGGAAGTGGGACTGAGAGGAAAGAGGTACTTATTTTGGGCTTTTACTTTACCTTCTGTAAAGTTTGAATTAAAAAAATATATTATTGGGGCACCTGGGTGGCTCAGTTGGTTGAGTGTCTGACTTCAGCTCGGGTCATGGTCTAGCAGTTCGTGAGTTCGAGCCCCGCGTCGGGCTCTGTGCTAACAGAGCAGCCCGGAGCCTGCTTCAGATTCTGTATCTCTCTCTCTCTCTCTCTCTCTCTCTCTCTCTCTCTCTCCCTCCCCCTCCCCTGCTTATGCTCTGCCTCTGTCTCAAAAATAAGTAAATAAATGTTAAAATAAATAAATATTTTAATTATTAAAAAAACTTTACATTTTTTAATGTTTATTTATTTTTGAAGGAGAGAGAGACAGAGTGTGATGTGGGGAGGGGCAGAGTGAGAGGGAGAAAGCAGGCTCCAGACTCTGAGCTGTCAGCACACAGCCCGATGTGGGGCTTGAACTCACAAACCGTGAGATCATGACCTGAGCCGACGTCAGACCCTTAACCAACTGAGCCACCCAGGCGCCCCAATTATTAAAAAAACTTTAAACAAGCAAAACCCAATATGTATGAAAAACATGGTCTCAGTAGTTTTCAAGTCCTAGCACATAAAGTCATTTGAGATTAGAATAAGCTTTAAGGTTATTAAGAAAGGTTAATAAGAAAGCTTTAAGGTTAACATGGTTATTACAAAGTATGAAACCATATGCTTTGCTTAACCAACAGTTTTGCAAACTAATTCACCTGACTAAACATATTTCTGAACACTAGAATTTTTTTTTGTTTTTGTTAACTGCTCTTAGTTGAACTTATTTTTCTGAGAATGAAGCAATTGAGCCAAATCCTCTAAGTTATAAAGACTTTTATACCCTCACTGAGCATATTTTAAACTCTATAAGCAGAAACTTACATGAAGAATAAGATTACTGAGCAGACCAAAATGGGAGGGGTCGACTCATTAGCAATGTATTCTACAAGGGAAGCAAATCAGAAGTTTAGTTATTAAATGTAGTGTTTACTGGTCAAGGCTAGAGATAATGACAGGATTTTTTTTGTCTTTAAAAAAAAGCAGAAGTAGGGGTGCCTGGGTGGCTCAGTCAGTCAAGCATCTGACTCTCAATCTTGGCTCAAGTTATGATCTCATGGTTCCTGATATCTAGCCCCACCTGGAGCTCTGCTTGGGATTCTCTCTCTTCCTCTCTCTCTGCCCCATGCACACACACTCTCAAATAAGTAAACATTTAAAAAGTAAGTAAAGGGGCGCCTGGGTGGCGCAGTCGGTTAAGCGTCCGACTTCAGCCAGGTCACGATCTCGCGCTCCGTGAGTTCGAGCCCCGCATCAGGCTCTGGGCTGATGGCTCAGAGCCTGGAGCCTGTTTCCGATTCTGTGTCTCCCTCTCTCTCTGCCCCTCCCCCGTTCATGCTCTGTCTCTCTCTGTCCCAAAAATAAATAAAACGTTGGAAAAAAAAAATTAAAAAAAAAAAAAAAAGTAAGTAAATAAATAAGTGAATGCAGAAGTAGGTAGATGTTATTAAGTCATCTGCTAGCCCAGTATATACTACTAAAATTTGATTCATTATGTGTGTTAAGTTTTAAAGCATGATAAGCACAAGGAATGATTAAATTAGAAGTGTAAAGTTGGAGGGGAGCCTGGCTGGCTCAGTTGGTATATCATGTGACTCTTGATCTTGGTGGTGTTAAGTTCAAACCCCACGTTGAATGTAGAGATTACTTAAAAATAAAAAATCTTTAAAACAAACAAACAAATGAAGCATGTAGTTATAATACCACTACTACTAACCTGAATCGTTTGAGATGTAGTCTGAGAACCTGAGGTAGGTGACAAACCATAAGCTGTTTTCGTGCTTCTGTGAGTACAACTGATTTTGAGGAAAACCTTCTACGTTTTGCTGTGATATCAAAGACAGAATGAGAATCAAATTTAAAGATACAAAGAAATGCTGAGTAAATACTTTAGACATGTATTATTAAACATCTTCTCTGTCACAGGCATTGTACTGCATTAGAGATAAGGACATACTTGCTCTAAAAAAAACTTGTAAGTACAAACATGCATACACACAACTTAAGAGCTAGTCAAGGTAGATATGTACACAATTCAGTACATGATTTTTTTTTAATGTTTTTATTTATTTTTGAGACAGAGAGAGACAGAACATGAGCGGGGAAGGGACAGAGAGAGAGGAAGACACAGAATCTGAAGCAGGCTCCAGGCTCTGAGCTGTCAGCACAGAGCCCGACGCGGGGCTCGAACTCACAGACCATGAGATCATGACCTGAGCTGAAGTCGGACGCCCAACCAACTGAGCCACCCAGGCGCCCCAATTCAGTACATGATTTAATATAATCCTGCAAATAAGGCAACAGAATGATATAGTGCTACAATATTTAAAAATGGATTTGGCTATGCCAATTAATAAGAAAACTTTCCCTAAACATACTTTAATATACACTTCCCAAATTCTTCATTTAAACAATTATCATGGTCAGTTCATTTACTGAATTTAATCAGAATCCCAGTGGGGACAGGTTCATAATTGCTCAGAACACCCTTCCCCACTTCCTGACACAGCAGTCCTTTACCAGCTCTGTGTCTGAGGACTCCCTCGGTGTCTTGCTTTTGCTATTTTAGTACAAATCTTAAAACAGGTAGCATTTTAGATTCTTTCTGTTGTCAGAGGTTCACCTATGAATTGTACCCTGCAGCTTCAGGCTGGGCCATTATCTACAAGTTTGCTCTGGACGCCTAGGAGCTGTCCTTCAACTTATACAGCAGCTCTGACTCCAGTCACAGCAGTAGCTGCTTCTCCTGTAGGGGGTGGAACCAGTCCCCTATGAGGCTATCCTCTAAGCCATCTCCACTTGCCACCAGAAGACTTTCCTCCAAGTCTCTGCTCCTGACATCCAGGAATCCAGCGCTGCTGAATGTCCTAGACCTACATTTGGATTGTCTCCCTGAATATATGGCCCATGTATAGCTAGATAAGTGATGTCAACTCCCTGACTTATAATTTTAAACACTTGCCTGTATGTATTAAATTAGAGTAGCTCTTTTAGGCCCAACACACACACACAAACATATTATAAAATCATATTCTGTATTCATTCATAGTATCTTTCTATTCCCAGATTTGGTGATGAAAGCATCTAGGACCATTCACATTTATGTCCAAGAAAAAAAAATACTTCACCATTTGAATTTGATAAGGTTTATTTTGTTCTAACCTCATAAATCTTAGGGTTATATATTTATAACAGAGTTCATATTAGACAGCACTCAGAAAATGTCAGCATAAGCCATTCTAAGAAAACCATCAATTGATGTGACATTTCTTCAATGCTGGAACATCCAATATTTCTTTTATATTACTTTAGAAGTTTAGTATCTAAAACCCTAGAGTCATTTTTTCCAGACATGGAAATTAGAAAGAATACTTGAAAATATATGGTATAAACACGAAGATGCCACATGTACATTGATAGAAAAGATAGACACCTGCTAAAGACACAACAGATCTGTCATGGTTTTATATACAATTTCCCTGGAGGATGATGCTTCTCTTTAACTGCAATGGCTGTTTCATCCCCCAGTGCTGGGTTCCTGTGCTCACCTCTATGACAGAGTTTCTCATAATAGATCTTAATTGTCTGTTTCTTCCATTAGGAATGTAAGTACCTTAAAAAGTATTTTATTTCTATCCATAGCAATTAGAACAATGACTAATATAGAAGAGACAGTAGATGGTTTTTGACTAAATCTTTGTTTTCATGAAACCAATTTCCATACAGCAGTCCGCCTATATATTATGTCCTATTATCTAGCTATGCATACACACACTTATACGCATATATTATCTATAGATCAGTGTTTTGATATGTAGCTAAAAGACTCAGCAAACATTACATTCAGTACTAAATAATATGCCTTCTTTGACTATTCCCCGTTGCTACTTTATTCTGTCTCACATATTAAGTTTAAATTTCTTATTTTATGAATTCTTTCTCTCCACAATTGACTATAGGATAAATTCTTTTAATGTCATCAGAAGGCAAAACAAACACATAGTTCACAAATGCCAATTATAAAGTAGAAACATCTATCCCAATTTCTTTTGATGAACTACCAAACTTTATTTCCAGAACTACTACTTGAGGAATTTTTTACGCTTCCTCTCATTTGTGTTTCTCTTTGCTAATCTTAGAAAAGCAAAGAGAATATATAGTCTCTACTTACAGTTACACTGGTCACATACGTAGATTTTTCCTTCTAAAGCTTCAGTTTCTGTGAATTTGGCCAACATTTCAGTAACCAGACATGGCTGGGAAGTAACATCTTTTCCACTGCATTGGTATCTTTCTGGAAATTCCAATGACAAGTCCCAGAAAGGTTCTATGGTATTTGATTTGTTGTCACATGCAACACATGTAACCTGAAAATAAAAATATTAGTTCCTCAGATTACAATCCTTCTGTCAAAACACTTACTCCTTTCACTATAGAGGTCAGTAAATTAGTTTTTCTTATGAAAATGCACCATCAGAATTCTGAATAATTTGCTTTGTATTATTTTCAGGGATTTTTTTTTATTATTATAATTTTTCCTTTCAATGACTGTCATTAAACCCATTATGTACTGGTGGGCTTTAACCAGTAGGCATTTAAAAAACTCCAAGGCCATTAGTCAAATCTGAATGTAGGTTTAAAAAAAAAAAAAAAGACAACTGTGGACTCATTTAATTTGGTATATGTGTGTGTATGTGAGAGAGAGATTTATATGCATTTAATTTAATATGTTTAGATTATTAGACTTGTTCTTTGTCCTTTTTCCTTCCTCATCTTTCACTAATTTTCTCTCCAAATCCCTATAACCTCTTAACCATGATACAAATAAAATACTATTTGTATATTTTTATATATAGTATATTAGTACGTGTAGATTTTGAAGCCCTACCAACTGATAATTTCAAAAGCCAATACATTTAATGTAAATGGTGTCATCACACTCTCACTTAAAACAAACATCACTACATCAAAATCTTCACCAAATATAGGAACTACAAAGAATACGGGGCAGTTCTAACAACTGACATAGGCAATAGAGCAACTGGAAAGGGAAAGACTTATACCTTCAGTGAAACACTCAGCAGGACTTAATGTTGAAGACAGACTACAAATCTAATAATCCCCACATGATAGATTACTAAACTCTTTCATAAAGTTACATTCCTGGAACAGGCAACAAAATAAAGAAGCCAGGTCTAATGTAGATTTTAGATTTAACAAATTGACACAAAGAAAAGAACACTCTTGGTGTTTGTCTGGGGACTCATTTGGGCCAGGTTTTAACCTTTTGAGAACAGTTTATTAAAGGAACCAAGCATCTGAATCTCCTGAGATAACCATATTCCTAAGAGTTTATTACATGTCTAAAGGAAGAGAGCAAAAAGCTGGCATAAAAATTTTTATTAATTTCAAGTCATCCATAAAAGAAAAATAAACACACAGGCACTCTTGCACTATTCAAAATATAAAATATAAAATTCTGGAAAGAAATTTGTACTCAAGTATTGAAAGACCTACCTTTTGACAAAGTAATGCTACTTCTAGGGTTCTGTCTTAAGGAAATCATTAGAAAAAATGTCTTATAACTTTATAATAACAGAAAAACTGCAACTATTTTACAAGTCAACAATATGGGAATGGGTAAATAAATTATGGTATATACATATAATGGACATCGACATGCTGTAAAAAACAAAAAAAGGATAAAACATTTTAAAGACTGAAAAATCTTTTTTTTTTTTAAATTTTCTTTTTTTGAACGTTTATTTATTTTTGGGACAGAGAGAGACAGAGCATGAACGGGGGAGGGGCAGAGAGAGAGGGAGACACAGAATCAGAAACAGGCTCCAGGCTCTGAGCCATCAGCCCAGAGCCTGACGCGGGGCTCGAACTCACGGACCGCGAGATCATGCCCTGGCTGAAGCCGGACGCTTAACCGACTGCGCCACCCAGGCGCCCCAAGACTGAAAAATCTTTACATCATAATGAAAAACTACAGGCACCTGGGTGGCTCAGTTAGCCATCTACCTCCTGATTTTTGTTCAGGTCATGATTTCACGATTGTGAATGTTGAGCTCCAGTCAGGCTCTGTGCTGAACATGAAGTCTGCTTAAGATTCCCTCTCTCTCCCTCTCTCTCTCTCAACAACAACAACAACAACAACAACAACAACAAAAATGAAGAAAGGAGATAAATTCATCATGACCACACAAGTTGGGGAAAATATGTATAAATGTGCAGAAGAAAAAAAACTAGAAGGAAATATACCAAACTATTAATAGTTTTTATATGTGGATTGTGGGGTTATGGGATAAGGGGATGGTTTTTCTTTTACTGCATAGATTTATTGTGTCATATAGGTCCTTGGGGACTATATATTACCTCTATTTATAATAGTGCATTAAAAAAATTTTTTTTTAATTTTTAGGTAAGTTCTAGGCCCAACATGGGGCTTGAACTCACAACCCCAAGGATCCAGAGTTGCATATCCTACCGACTGAGCCAGTCAGACACTCCTATAATAGTGCATTTTATTATTTTTTCCTCTCTCTTTTTTTTAAGTTTATTTATTTATTTTGAGAGAGAGTGTGTGTGCAGATGGGGGAAAGGCTGACAGAGGGAATCCCAACCAGGCTCTGCTCTGTCAGTGTGGAGCCCAATGTGGAGCTTGAACCCATGAATCATGAGATCATGACCTGAGCTGAAGTTGGATGCTTAATCAACCAAGCCACCCAGGCACCCTTAATAGTGCATTTTAAGCTTTTGCATAAAAATGGCAGAAAAATAAAATTGCATGCAACACAAGAAACAACTCTAATTTGCTATTTGGCACAATGTAGAATCTTTACATTTCTGAAACATTAAGTGGAATAAAGATCACAGATACACCCAAGGAATAATTACATTTGAAATACTTAAACTACAGGCATGCATGGCTGGCTCAGTTGGTAGAGCATGTGACTCTTAATCTTGGGATCATGAATTCAAGCCCCACGTTGGGCACAGAACTTCAAAGAAATTTTTTTAATGTTTATTTTGAGAGAGAGAGAGAGTGTATGCACAAGCAGGGGAGGGGCGGAGAGGGAGAGAGAACCCCAAGCAGGCTCCATGCTGTCAGTGCAGAGCCTGACACGTGGCTCCATCCAATGACGCTGGGATCATGACCTGGGCCAAAATCAAGTCAGACGCTCAACTGACTGAGCCACCCAGGTGCCCCAAGCTTCAAAAAAAAAATTTTTTTTTTAATATTTAAGCTACATTCTAGCAAAGTATGCTAATGTTATAAAAACAAAAGGTGGTATCATTACTGTGAAAGTTGAAATGAGGAACAGAGGCAGGTGTGCAAGAGGAAGGAAATGACCTAACAGCCAATTGCCTAAAACAAAAAAAATTTTAAGATCTATGCTATGGAAAAGTAGAGAACCTTATGTCTAGTAATAGTTTACCAACAAGTCATTAGAGTTATTAATTGGATTAAAGATCCTGGTTTTGTGATTCCTTTTCACACCAAGGGAAACTTTTACAACAGTAATTAAAATAAAGGAAAATCATTTAGGATTATTTTCAATGAAATCACACTTACTTAAAATTTCCCTACCTACTTATTAAAGCTTTCAGACCTTGCCCTCGTGGATTTTATAGAAAGTCTTCCAGGGCTACCTCTTGGTTCCTAAAATTATTCAAGTGTGTACCAAATCCATTCCCAGTACCGCAGCATCTTCAAATCTGTTCCTTCCCTAAGGCATTAAACCCTCTCTTCTCAATCTCTCAGAAAATGAATTTAATATTATCAACCTAAGAAGCTTTGTTTCCTGATTCCCTCTTCCCACAAAAAAAGCTTTTTAAAAAATGTTTATTATTTTTGAAAGAGAAAGAGTGTGCGTGTGCATGCGCAAAAGAGTGGGCGAGGAGCAGAGAGAGAGGGGGAGACAGAGAATCCCAAGCAGGTTCCACACTGTCAGTGCAGAGCCCTGCACAGGGCTCGGACTCAGGAACTGTGTGATCATGACCTGAGAGCTGAAATCAAGAGTCGGATGCTTAACCAAGTGAGCCAGCCAGATGCCCCAAAAGCTTTGATACCATAGATGAAAAACTACTTCCAGTGATTCATGAAGGAAACACATAAATGAGTGAAACACTGTAAATGAATAAGCTGACTTCTTGACACATATTTGTAAAAGCAATCTATTTTGACCTGAAAACAGTCCTCTCTAACACACTAGATAAACAGAGAATACACATTTTTTAGGCTTCGTTTTATGAATTCCCCAAGATGAAAGTAAGATTAAAAACAAATCCATACCTGACTAAGTAGTTGTCCATGAAAAATATTATTCACAACATTCAGAACCTGTTTGATAAGTTTCCTTTGAGAAGTGGGGATAAGAGCTGGTAACCTAGTACCAGTTGTCTCTAGTTCATGTTGTATTTTATCCAAAAGTTCACAGAGAAATTCCTGAGCATCCTGTTGGGCATAACCACGAAAAGCTGGAATTAGTCTCCACACGGAGTGTAGCATAGCAAATGGTGAGACTAAGGCCCACTTTCCAGACCACATGACTTGGAACAAAGTATGCAATTCATGACAGAGAGAAATGTATTGTGAACTTGGTTCCTTTGGCTGAATAAGTTCCATCTTTCTACTCTTTGATGCTCCACCACTTAGTCCTAATGATAAACTTGGATGTCTGGAGGGAACACAGCCTGTATCTTTTTCTTGGCATTCATTCATTTGATATACTGTATCTGTGACTGGTAGATGCTTATAAGGTGATCTTGTCTTATCACTAGCTGTCACTGCCAGCCATCGGTTCAGATCAAGTTTTAAAAAACATTGCCGAAAAATAAGTAAATGACTCAACACTTGAAGAACAGAATTCATATAGCAAGTATTTCCCAAATTTCTCAATCCAGTTACACCAGGTGTTACTATTGGCCTTTGTTTACCTGAGGAGTCATTGGCTTTTTTTAATTTCACATCTTCTGAGGTAGGTACTACTTTATCTTTTGCTGGTGATGCTGGGGTTTGCAGTGGTACTTGAACAGGAACTATTTCTACTGTGGTAGACTGAGCTAGACCTTGCAAACGTAAACTCTTTCTTGGATGTATACTTTCCAATTCTGTTTTAACTTGATACTCTAATTCTTGTCGTCTTTTCTTCACTTCTCTTTTTGCTATTTTTTCCTGAAATTGTTCCTCTTGTCTTTTTCTTCCAATGGGTGATTGTTCAAACCAAGTTCGAAAGATTTTACCCATTAATATTCTTCTTCTATGCCAAAGAGCAGTATACATTTGATCTTCATTTTGAAGCAGAGATTGGGTGCTATCGTGTAAGTAATAAGTATCATCACTTGTACCCACAGACTGCAAAACCCTTCCACTACGAGTCGTGCACTGATAATTTTGACTTTTGATTGCACTTAAGGTACTTCGTAGTAACTTCAGGTCTCCAGTAGCATTATCATTAAGAACATAATCATCACAAAGGTAACAAAAAACATACATCTCATTCACCTCCAAGGCAACAGGATGACTGCTATCTTGAAAGTGCCTGACTGCATGTTCTTCAATATATCTTCCACAGGCAACATGAGAACAGCTAAGGCAAGCCCAAATCGACTCAGTTGTATTGCAGTCCACACAATGCCATTTCTGAGGGTTGAGGATGGAATGGTCTTGAGCAAGCCGCAACTGCCCAATGTGTTTGCACTTATCCATTGTTAACATTTATTCAGTCTAGCTGAGAAACACATAATCCAAACAAGTCTCTGTTCACGATACTTGAAACATCTGAAAACTAAGCAGAACAATATCAATTTTTAATAAAAGCCAATATTTTTCTTTTTTATAAGGTATTTTTCCAAGAAAAATTTTTATAAATTTGCTTCCTTTGCTCCCAATTTGTGGGCTGCCTGTCATAACACCATAGGCAGTTCTTACTTTTCTTTTGTTTCGAAGCTCTCTAATCTCTCATCTTAAAATACACTTAACTTTCTCCAACAGGTTCCCTTTAAAAACTGTTTTTAATTTTCTGCCACCATCTACTGGTAGAAAGGGGGTAGTGCCCTCTTTTCAATGAACTAGAATAAGATCCATCCTTTCACCCAATAGTTGAGGGCAGTTTAAAGAACTACATTCCTTTTCTTAAAAATTAGGGTCGGCAAGACTCAAATATATCTCAGTAATGTCTACATTCTGAGACCCCTATCCAAATTGTTACTAAAGCATAATCATAGTTAACAGCATGCGTTCTGAAACAAACACTTAGAGATATGAATTCTACCTCTGCAACACACTGTTATATGTCTGATTTGAGCAAATATTTTAACTTCTCTAAATTTCTGTAAAACAGGGAAAAGTCATACCAACTTCAATGAAAAACTGAAAAAATATGAAATATTTAACACACAGTAAACCCCCAATAAATGGTAGCTATAATGGTAGCTACAGTGAAAAAATATGTATTTTAAGTAGGCTCTATGCCCAGTTGTAGAGCCCAACATGGGGCTTGAACTCTGAGATCGAGACCTGAGCTGAGATTAAATCAGATGTTTAACTGACTGAGCCACCCAGGTGCCCCTAAGATGAACAAATCTTAACATTCTATTATATTCTATTTATTCAAATAAATCACATCAATATTTACTTAATTACCATTTTAAATTTAGCTTTCCACTAGTAAATCAATAATGACCTTTAATTCATGGCTCTGTAACATACTTTGAATTTGACAGACTTGACAGTTTACCTTAGGGAGGGAGAAAGAGACATGCTTTTGTGTTTGAATAGCCTCTTAGGAATGTACAAGGATACATAAGCAAAGAGAAAAAGAAAAATATGAAGTGGATGGCAATATAATAAATGTTTACATTCTGGTGGGCCTATGGACTATCTGAAATTATAAGCTTATTACAAAAACAAAAACAAAACCCCATCCCAACATAATAAAACAAAACAAACAAAACCTATGTGGTTTTGACCCAGAAACACGTTCCTTTATGAGTTAAGAGTCAGGAAAACTTCTGCTACAGGATCTAAAAATAGAGGCATTTGGCTTAGTTGCTTTAGTGTGCAACTCTTTCTTGATCTCAGGATTGTGAGTTTGGACCCCACATTGGGTATAGAGATTACTTAAAAGTAAAATCTTAAAAATAGATAAATAAAAATAAAGATAGTAGGGGTGCCTGCGTGGCTCAGTTGGTTGAGCCACTCTTGATTTCAGCTGAATGATCCCAGGGTCATGGGATGGCCTGAGTCAGGCTCCAGGCGTAAGCAGTGGAGTTCTGAGTTCCAGAACTCAGAACATTTTATGTAGTATGATCAATACTTTCAAACTTTTAGGGCAGCTGATAAAAGGACACTATCCAAAATCTATAAATAACTTATCAAACAACCTCCCTCAAAAACAAACAATCCAGTTAAGAAATGGGCAGAAGACATGAATTGATTTTTCCAAAGAAAACATCCGGATGACTGTCACATGAAAAGATGCTCAATATCACTCACCATCAAGGAAATACAAATCAAAACCACGATGAGATACCACCTCTCACCTGTCAGGATGGCTAAAATTAACAACACAGGAAACAACACGTGTTGGTGAAAATGTGGAGAAAGGGGAGCTTTCTCGCCCTGTTGGCAGGAATGCAAATTGGTTCAGCCACTCTGGAAAACAGTATGGAGGTTCTTCAAAAAGTTAAAAATAGAACTACCCTATGATCCAGCAATTGCATTACTAGGTATTTACCTAGTAAATACAAAGGATACAAAAATAGTGGTTCAAAGAGGTATGTGCACTCCAATGTTAATAGCAGCATTATCAACAATAGCCAAATTGTGGAAAGAGCCCAAATGTCCAACAACTGATGAATGAATAATGAAGATGTGGGGTATAGGTAACAATGGAATATTACTGAGCCATCAAAAAGAATGAGATCTTGGGGCACCTGGGTGGCTCAGCTGGTTAAGAATCCAACTCTTTTTTTTTTTTTTTAATGTTTATTTATTTATTTTGAGAGAGACAGACAGAGACAGAGAACACAGCAGGGCAGGGGCAGAGAGAGAGGGGGAGAGAGAATCCCAAACAGGATCCCTTGGAGCCTGACTCAGGGCTCAATCTCATGAGTAAGATAATGACCTGAGCTGAATTCAAGAGTCAGATGCTTAACTGACTGAGCCACCCAAGCACCCCAAATGTCCAACTCTTGATTTTGGCTCAGGTCATGATCTCACCGTCTCATGTGAGATGGAGCCCTGAGTTGGGCTCTGAGCTGAGCGTGGAGCCTGCTTAAGATACTCTCTACCTCATCCCCATTTGTGCATGTGTGCGTGTGCTCTCTCTCTCTCTCTCTCTCTCTCTCTCTCTCTCTCTTAAAAAAAAAAGAATGAAATCTTGGAATTTCCAATAGCATGGATATAGCTAGACTGTATTATGCTCAGTGAAAGAAGTCAGTCAGTGAAAGACAAATACCATAGGATTTCACTTGTATGTGGAATTTAATAAACAAAACAGATGAATATAGGAGAAGGGGGAAAAAAAAGAGAGGGAAGCAGATGGTAAGAGATTCTTTAAATTACAGACAACAAACTGAGGGTTGCTGAAGGGGACATGGGTGGGTAATGGGCTAAATGGGTGATGGAGATTAAGGAGGGCACTTGTGTTGAGCACTGGGTGTTATACGTAAGTGATGAATCACTAAATCCTACTCCTGAAAACAATATTACACTATGTTAACTAGGATTTAAATATAAATTTGAAAAGATGAATAAAAAATACATTTTTTTAGGACAGCAATATGAATTTCAATGGTACTTAGGTACCACCTCCAGGCATCTAAGAAAGCTGCAAAGGTGAAGTTGATTTTTGGTTCCTTCTCACCAATTTTTTTTTTTTTTTTTTTTTTTTTTTTTTTTTTTAGTAAAATCTCCTAGCAATCAGAGAGCCTCTCCCCCTTCATTTCTTAACTTTCAAATGTAGGGTGTATCGTGAATATGGACTTAAGGCTGACCAGTCCCAACACTCACATGTGTACACATTTCAGGCACACATTTTTTCTTAAAATTTTTGAAGTTTATTTATTTATAAATAAGTAAACAAGCACAAGTGGGATAGGGGCAGAGAGAGAGGGAGAATCCGAAGCAGGCTCCACACTGTCAGTGCAGAGCCTGATGCAGGGCTCGAACTCATAAATTGTGAGACCATGACCTAAGCCAAAATCAAGAGTTGGACACTTAACCGTCTGAACCACCCAGACACCCCTTCAGGCTCATATTTCAAGTTTATTTCTCTTCCTTCAAAATTTCCTGAGGTCCAGAATCTGTTCAAATACAGTATTTTATTAGAACTCCTAGCATTCAACAGTAGTTGCTAATGGCAAAATTAAGACATCAAAGATTAATATGCTCCATTATCCTAAATCCTTCCACGTACTGAAGCTAAATATCTCATCCTTGACTCCTTTTTCTCTCTCCCTACACCAATCCTTCAGGAAAAAATGGTTGGCTCTATCTTAAAAATATATCGAGAACCCGACAATTTATTACCTCTACTGCTCTCACCCTGGTCCAAGTCACAATCAAGTCTCACCTGGATTACTGCAATAAGGCTCCTAAATGGTCTCCCAGCTTTGATCCTTGTTGCCAGCAAAAGTTTACACAGCAACAGCATGCTCTTCCTATAAACCTAGACCACCAGGGCCCAGACCTGACACTTAAGGGGGTCCCTGCCCTAACCCTCTCCCATTATGTGGAGTCCACAGAGTCAGGGGGAGGTGGTCACCTGGAGCCTGCACACATCCCAACTTCCCTTTTAGATCCATTCATGGGTACCTAAGACCCAGAAAATTCCCTGCGCTAATCATCCCCAAGCCTGCTTCCAGGAACTATGGGCAATAAGTCACTGAAAAACTGTAGAGAAGAATGACATGATCAGATATATAGGTCACAGATGGATCTGAAATGCAGACCCAGAGGAAGGATGAATGATTAAAAGAGATTATTACTCCAGATATAAGGAAATTAAAGCTGCAGAAGTGTTGAAGGAAAGATGGGAGCAGAGGTAGAGTAGCGTCAAACTTTGGCTTAAAGAACTGGTTCAATATGGAGATTAAGAGAAAAATCTAGGGTTCTCTTCTATCTACTTTAATGTGTTTTTTGTTGTTGTTGTTGTTGTTGTTGTTGTTGTTTTTTAAGAGAGAGAGAGCACATGTGAGCTGGGGAGGGAAGCAGAGGGGGAGAGAGAGAAACTTAAGCAGGTTCCACACTCAGTGCAGGGGTCAATTCTGAGCCCAAAATCAAGAATCGAATGCTCATCCAACTGAGCCACCCAGGCCCCCTCTACTTTTGTTTTAAAAAGATTATATAAAAAATAAAATAAAAAGGATCATATAAAGAATACAGAGACAATTTAAACATTCCTTTCTGGCAAGTCAGACAATAATGATTAGTTCAACTTCTTGAGATGACGATGGAAATGCTGCTTATTTACACTCAAGGGAAATTATTTCATTCTAAAATTTTAGAGGTGGTATGAATTACACCTTGCATAACATTCAGAAAAGAAGACTCAAAAGAAAAGAAACTTCTAGAAAGAATGTATAATATAGTTTATTTTGGGGTTATCCATATTTTCAAATATCTAAATAAGCATGTTACTTATACAATAAATTTTAAATATGCATACTAGTATATAATTTAGCACATATGTAGCTAAATTATACACGAGCCTCTTTAATCTCTTCTCTGTTCTGCAAATACATTCCTAATTGTTACTAAAAAATCTATTTACATGATGATGGC